AGGAGGAATAGGGGGTTCCCTAGAAGGAGTATCATTAGTGGACACAGCTGAGTGAAGGCAATGGGAATGACAAAATGTGCTCCAGCTAGTGATCTTGTTAGCAGCCCAGTCAATGTGGGGATTGTGGTTCTTAAGCCAAGGGAGTCCTAAAACAATAGGTGCTTGCGGAGACGAAATTACCAAAAGTTGTAAGACTTCTGTGGTTCCCAGATAACAAGAGAGTTACAGGCTTGGTACGAAATGTTATCTTGGCTAAAGGATCGCCACTCAAAGCATTAACAGTCTGTGGAATTCCAATAGATTCAGTGGGAATGTTGGCTAGTTTGACCAAATTAGAGTCAATGAAATTGTCATCTGCCCCTGAATCAACAAGTGAAAAAGTTGGAACGGACTCACATTGCCATAAGAGTGTGGACTGGATTTGCAGCCGGAGTTGGTTGAAGGGTTGAGGAGAAGAGATTTGGCTCACCATGAGCTCCCCACTCACTGATGAGCCCGCTCTTTTGGCAGCAGAGGACAGGTCCTGATGTAATGCCCTGCCTGGCCGCAGTAGATGCATAGACCCTCAGTTTGCCGACGAAGACGTTCATCTGAGGTAAGGTGAGCCCGGCCCAATTGCATAGGCTCCTCAGCTGGTGCAACTTTAGTAGTGCTAGAGGGCACAGGAGAAGAGATAGGCACATGAGGCATGAAATGCTGAGCTGACACAGGACCCCGAGAAAAATTTTGCCGGCTAGCCTTCTCTCTGCGTCTCTCTCTAAGTCGATTATCCAAAGTAGTCGCAAGAGAAATCAGCTCTTCAAGATTATTGGTTTCATCACGAACTGCCAACTCATCTTTAATATTTTCAGCCAAGCCCCTTAAAAATGCTCCCTGTAGGGCAACATAATCCCAGCCACTCTCAGCAGCCAAAATACGGAATTCCACAGCATATTCAGCTACAGAAGAAGCACCTTGACTAAGCGCTAACAGTCTCTTAGAAGCCTCCTTTCCTCTAACAGGGTGGTCAAAAACTCTTCTCATTTCGTTACAAAAAGCTGGGTATGATTGACAGGTAAGTGAATTACTTTCATACAAAGCAGTTGCCCACTGAGAAGCCTTGCCCCCAAGCAAACTCAGAATAAAAGCAATGCGTGACTTATCTGAGCTGTAGGTGGATCGCTGTTGGTCCAACACCAGGGAACACTGAAGCAGGAAGCGACCACAGGCACCCAATTCCCCGGTGTACCTCTCTGGTGTAGGTAGGTGTGGCTCACGGGCAGATGTAGGGAGAATTGGAGCTGGGGACGAGACGGTACCATCTGGCGGATTACTGGGGCCAGGAGCTGAGGGATCCGAGAGTCGAGTGGAGAGCATGTGGACTTGATTGGACAGCTGGGCAACGTTGATTGAGAGTTCATGTAGATTCTGAACGACCTCCCGCAAAGTCTGTTCATGTTGTCCAACCAGAATACCTTGAGAAGCCAGAGCTTGGCGGACAGAATCAGCTTGGTCTGTTGGGTCCATGTGGCCAGATTGTTCTGTTACGGCACAATATGGGACCCAAAAAGGCGACTCAAGCGTGAAAAATAAAAATACAATTCATTTAAGGAGGGGGAGTGCTGGAGGGTCTGGAGGCAAGGAGGTCAAAAACAGGAACACAGGAACTGCCAAAAAACAACAAAAACAGGTAAGTACAGGGATCGAGAAATAGCTCAAGAAAACTAGCCAAATGTAGGACTTTCACCAGTAGATGAGACGAAACAATCTGGCACCAACAGGCTGTAGAGCTGGGTACTTGAAGAGATGTGATTGCCTCCAGGTGTGCAGTGCAGGCCCCACCCCTGCCCTCACACAGAGGGAAGGGAGGGGGAGTAGAGCAGGCAGCAGAGGCACAGGATGTGACACATCTTAGCACTATTGCTTCTCAACAAGAAGGTCCTGGGTTCAAATCCCGGTCGAAACAGACTTTCTGAGTGGAGTTTGCATGTTCTCCCCGTGTCTGTGTAAGTAAGTAACCACTAAAAACATGAACAATAGGTGAAATCCTCCGGCTACGGTGGCCCAGACGCTGTACTACGGCGACCACTTCTCCTTAGTGGCATCAGAATGGATCAAATACAGAGGTCAATAAAGTGTACATTTACATTTTTCAAATTGAAAATTGAAAATGGAAACACTCATTTGCCTCCTTCCCACCGAGCAAAAAACAGGAATTTTAACCAAAACCCCAGGACGCCCTTTCCTTTTACACTTTGAGGGTGACTAAACGACTCGACATATAACCTGCCTTGAAAACAAATCTTTTTCGCCAAATATGGCTGTAATTTAGACCAAATATATGCGGTACGGTGGTTCAGTGGTAGCACTTGTGGCTCTCATCAACAAGGTCCTGGGTTTGATTACACATCCAGACCTTTCTGCATCTTCTCCCCGTTTCTGCATAGGTTTCCTCTGGGTGCACCGGTTCACCCTACCACTAAAAATAAGTTCAATCGGTCTGGCATGGGCCTCCTGTATGGCGACCCTGCTCCCATCTCTGTTTGAAGTGAGAGCCTGCACAACATTTGCAAAGCGCTTTGTGACTCTGGTCATATAAAGTAGTACATATTACTTACTTACTTTCTAGAATTAAAGCCAAACTGTTTCGTAGCCTGTTGCTTACATGTGGGTCAATAGAAGGAGATTATAAAACTACACATGAGTCAAGTCACACAAGGGACAATTCTTTTCTTGAAGACGATATAACAAGTCGTGTAACAAGAGTGAAGCACTAACCTTGACATGCTTTGGGTTGAATACATTTAACTGTGTCTTTTGCTATGGCTGCTGCACTTTATACACTGTTGAAGTGGAGAACCTTCTGCTTTTTGTGGGTCTACTGAGCCGAAGGGAAGATGAAAAGGAGAATATTTTAAATGAAATCAAAATAAATATAAATCTTTTCGCTGGAAAAATGGCGCAGCTGGAAAATATGGCGCCGTGGCCAGAGCTCTTCTCTGTCTGGTGCACACTGTGGTAGTCTTGCATAGTTTTTCCAATGTGGTTTTACTGCAAATGGCAAATACATTCTTGAATCTTGAATCTTGATAAATGTAAGACAGAAAAAGACAAGTATTCCACATACAGTAAATATTTCTCCCGTTATTCCGAAAATGATCACCGGGGCTTGGAGGAAACCTACACAGACGCGGGGAGAACATGCAAACTCCACACAGTAATGCCTGGAGGTGGAATCGAACCCTGGACCTTCTCGTCGTGAAAGTTTCTATCCACAGTCCCTAATTATATGAAAAAGAAATATACACTCATACAGTATTTGATTACATTTTCTCACATAATTTGCTGCAATCGCTGATATTTTAAGTTTGTGTATAGCTCCCAGTGGTCCATATGTTTCTTTACAGTGAATAGAAAAGAGTGTGAAGGTTTTGTGAGTGTCGCTTTAGCCAGAGCATATTCCACTAAACCCCGCCGTCTGCATTCAAACTCCAAGGATACAAATGTGAACGCATAATCCCACAGTAATTGCCAGAAGAAAAGGATTACCCGCCATCCAATACATGCAAATGAACTATACAGAATACTGTGTTATGCTTTATTTCCTGGTAATTTGAACGTATTTCATTATATTCAGAGGGAGGTGAGCTGTCTGCTGCATTTTTGAGTTGGGTTCAATTCTTACATTGTCTTTAGGGCCTGATTTGTGCCTTATTTGTTTTGCTTTGTTCTTCATTCTCTTGTTGCCCATGTACTGTAAGCGGGTATGGGGCTTTCTGTATGGAGCAGAATGTTGAAATTTTGCATGGCTCAAAATAAAGTATAAAAAGTAAGTAAGTACGTGTACTTTTGGTGGGGATACTAAAACTGAGAAAGTAGTCACTCATAAGAGAACACACAACTTCAGGACAGTTTTTTTCAGACAGAAAAGTGCACCCGTCCCTGACTCAGCCAATCAGCTCTCAGCCCCATATGTCAAATGGTGACTCACATGTAAAAGATAACAGCTTGCACAGCTTAGGAAAATGTTACTGGAAATGAGATTTAGGGACCAGAAATTAGGCAAATATCCCCAGGCAGAAATCATGTAAATTCCCTTCATTTATAAGCACATTTTTTAACCATATTTTGTTTTTGCACTGGCTTCCTGTGGCTCAGAGAATAGACTTTAAAACAGCTCTGCTTGTGTACAAGTCTCTCCATGGCCTTGCACCAAAATATATTAGTGACATGTTAGTCCCATATGAACGAGCCCGGACTCTGAGGAGCACAGGGACTGGACTCCTGTTAGTGCCCAGAGTCAGAACTAAACATGGGGAGGCTGCTTTTCAGATTCATGCTGCTAAAATCTGGAACAGTCTTCCTGAAGATGTGAGACAGGCCTCCTCTCTGACAATGTTTAAAACCAGGTTAAAGACAGTCCTGTTTAGCTGTGCATACAACTGAGGGATTTTATATTCGTACAGTATCTTTCTTTTTAATGTACTGTGATTATTTATGTATGTATTATGTATACTTGTGTATGAATTGTCCTATACAAATAAACTTGCCTTGCCTATTGTATTTGCGAGCTTTGAGTTCAAGGCCGGGACACATCTTTATTTTGATCTTGTTTTAGGTTGTCAGACTCAATTTTCTGACTGAAAAATAGGATAAAGATTAAGAGATCCTTTAGTTGTCCCACACTGGGGAAATTGAGTAAAGTTTGAGTAAAAAGTAACTTTAGCATAACAAGGAAGCTAATCTAAAATCTCCAACTTAAGCATAATGTAGAAGCAAGAATTCAGTATAAAATATCTGACTTTAGCATAAGGAGGAAGCAATTCTAAAATCTCCAACTTTAGCACAATGTAGAAGCAAGAATTAAGTGTACAATCTCTGTCTTTGGCATAATAAGAAAAAAGTATGAATCCAGTCGCAGCTGCAATGTTATTTTGAAATATGAATTGTAACTCCGTCCTCCTGTATGAACTTGTTAACCCTAACCCGTAATGATTTTCTTCTTCTGTGCTGTCGGGCAGAGCTGCAGAGGACGGGGGCCATGGAGCTGGTGGACACCGGGCCTCAGACCATGATGAAAGCCCAGGGAGAGAGCGTGCTTCTGGGCTGCAGGTACAAGCCAGGCCCTGCCGACACCGGGGCCCTGGACATCGAGTGGTCCGTCGTGAGCCCGGACACCACCCAGAAAGACCAGATGGTAAACGGGATGTAACTGTTTCTCTTTTATAATGCAGGGAGATGAAGTAGAAGTCTTGGGTCACTGTGACAGGCCGTGTTTATGTCCTGGAAGTCTTTGTCGAATAATTCTTCAAACAAATATGCAACAATAATAACAATATCCTTATATTTTTAAGAATCTTTCTAGAAATCAAAATATACCTGGATTACATACTACTCAAATAAGTTTGACTTTGAGAAAGGATTAGGAGATTGTGCCAGTTTAAAGACACGTTTTATTAAGATTATGACGTTCTTGATTCGTCCCAGAGTGGGGAATTGTCAGTGTTGCATCACCGGTTACACAACAGTAGGAATGAGGAGCACACAACACAAGCAAATATACAATCTGTAGCTTGAACATCATGAAGAAGCAAGAATTAAGTATACAATCTTTGACTTAAGCATATTAAGTAGTAAGAATAAAGTTTCTATCTTATGAACCTTTTCTTACTTTTAACCATGTAAATTCTATCAGAAACAAACAAGAGTTATTTTTATTTCATCCACACAAATATCAGGATCTTCTGGCAAACTTCTGGCAACCCTTCTGCCTAAAAGCTCCTCTCATGTAATGTTGTTATCGAACCACTATGACAACGTGCTCAAAGCTGTTTTTTTGCATTTTAGAACCAAAATAATGCCCATTATTTAGTTTTGGTGGTGTTTAAAGTGATATACTGTACACAAGTAGGACCTTCTACCTATGTACAGTATATCTGTGGGATATGTCCACATATTTAAAGCTAGGGTGCCTGACTTTTGTGTTTAAAAATTAATGCAATTTTTATTTTTTAAACAAAAGTCTTCCTGAAATAACATGTTGCGAGTGAAACAGACCTACATATGCTGTATTTATCTATATCACCGGCTGAGTAGATAGCACTCTCACATCTCAGCAAGAGGTCCTGGGTTTGAATCCCGGTCAAAACAGGTCTTTCTGTGTGGAGTTTGCATGTTCTCCCAGTGCTTGCGTAGGTTTCCTCCGGGTACTCTGGTTTCCCCTACCACTAAAACATGCACACTAGGTTAAATCCTCCAGCTCCGGTAGTCCTGACCAAGCCGAGCGTCAACATCTGGAGACGGGTTCCCGGGCTCTGTTACTACGGCAACCACTTCCCCCGGTTGTAAGCCTTAGTGGCATCAGGATGGGTCAAATGCAGAGGATGAATTGCCCTACGGGGATCAATAAAGTGCACCTTTTAGAAAACATATCTTAAATCACTATAAATCACTCAGGCTGAGGGTGGTTCTCGCTTTTAACTTTCATGTTTGCAAAATGTGATCCAAAGAAGTTACATAGTTCCATTTTGTGTTATTTGAAAGTTCGGTACCCCAGCTTTAAGGCGGCTCAGAGGTCCTGGAGAGAGAGTCCTTGGAGCTGGAGGAAGTAGGCCAGCTTTAAATAAGCTTGTAATAATGACAAATCAAAAAGCAGTTGGTTGTTTGATTTGTGCTTGTGCATTTATGTTGTTAGAATTTCATTCAAATTCGATGTACTTTTGTATACTGTAGCCATAAATCACAACAGCAGTCGTCTCAAAAGGAGAATTTATTCCTCAACAACAGATCAGAGAATCTAATCGTTTGAACACAGGAAATTCTATAATAACAAACAAGCGGGATGTCCATTGTCCATAAATGTTAATTAACCATAAAGGTTCTTAAATGTCCCGGATAATCACTGACCTTAGACCCTCCTCACCGTGTCTTTCGTTTCGTTTCCAGCTGCTCTCGTACAGCGGTGGTCTCGTCTACGTTCACTCCGAAAACCCGCTGTCCCAAGGCATGACTTTCGCCAGCCCAGACCCTTCCTCTGGAGACGCCTCTCTCTCCATCGCTGCAGTGAGCCCGGCCCACAGCGCCACCTACCAATGCAAAGTGAAGAAGTCTCCCGGGGTGGACGCACACAAGCTGTCCCTGCTCGTCCTGGGTGAGTCCGGTTTGAGTTACATCCGGCACATGTCATCGGCCTGAATTATGCACATGGGTTGGCCTGTCGTTGTCTGTGCAGGTCACTTCTTTTGTTTTCAGCAAAAGGGTCTTACCACTACGTTCCAAAGAGCCTATAGTCTAACTTGGTGGTGGAGAAAAGCAGAAAAATATCATTGCTTTTAATTATGAAAATTGTTTAAATGAAAAGTAGTTCTTAGTTTAGAGCCAATTTCTCAGTATTTCCTGGGCTAATCCACATAAAATAAAAGCTGTCACGAAGTTTAACGTCTTCTCTGTCAGCAGCACATATCAACTATGGTCTGATGTGTTTGTGAATGTGTCTGGAAGTGGTGACAATATTCATACAAACAAATGCATGATGATGGCCTGTAGAAAGGACTTTCAGACACGTTTGTCGGCATTGTGAATGTAATAACTACCAAATAATGATCTGGGAAAACATGTAGCCATTTTATTTTTAACATTTCTTTAAAAAATGTATTCCTTCCCAATGAGTTGTAATGGCACCTGCCCTTCATCTGACATAGAATCATAGAATGCAACCTATTAGTGCATTTGTGTTCAATTATACATCTCAAACTATGTTGTATTTAGTACTTGTGATTTGTGTTCTTAGTTTGTTTTTTTTTCTTCCATATATCCCAGTCCAATCCCCCGAGTCACAGGTTATTCTACGTTCCTACCCTCACCTATGGTCACGAGCTTTGAGCAATGACTGAAAGGACAAGATCATGGATGAAGGTGGTTGAAAAAGAGTATCCTCCCTGCAGAGTGGCTGGGCGCACCCTTAGAGGTGGGTTGAGGAGCTTTGAGTAGAGCCGCTGCTTCTACACGTCAAGAAGAGCAGGTTGAGGTGGCCCGAGCATTTGTTTTGGATAATTCCTAGAAGGTGTTCCGGGCATGTCACATCGAGAGGAGACTATAGGGGAAGATTCAGGACACGTTGGTGTATCTCAGCTGGCCTCGGAGCTCCTCGAGATTCCCCCAGATGAGAGAGAAGTCTGTGCGTCTCGGCTAAGACTGCTGTCTCCTCAGAAATGAATAAAGTGGAAGAAAATGTATGAATGGATGGATGTTGTGGGCTGCAGCCTTCTTGGGAGCCTGATATGATCCCTGAACCGCAGCTTGGAGACGCCTTCTTTATAAGTTGCTGCCACAGCATTGTGCAGCAAGAATTTTATTGGTAAATCAACAATCTTGTAAAGGCAGTCGGTGGAATCCCCCATTGATGATCTTGTAAAGTCCTGTGAAATTACTGTACACATTGATTTCAAAAACTCTGCTCACAGTGATCTGCTGAGTTTGCACGTTGGCACTTTGTTGGGATGAAAAGAACAGAGACCAGCACTGTCATTTTCATTACTGACGACAGCAGACTCATTTTAGAATATTAAAACCGCAGCAAGTTTGGTTTTGATGTGCCCAGCAGATCCTGGACCCTCCCCCTTCTCCTGTAGAGTTCTGAAGACAAGTAATCTTGATGCCATTTTGTTCGGTGTGGTCAGGGAAGGGGAACGGTCATCGAATGCACGAGCATCAAGTTGAATCAATGTCATGAAAAGTTTAATCAATCAATCAATCTTTATTTAATGAGCGATTATCCGCCACAGGGCAACACAAAGCACCACACAGTCCACATCTCACAAAGCACAAATCATCACATATACAAACACCAAAATCACCATTAAAGCACAATTAAAATCACACTGGTCATTAAAAACCATTAAAACATCAAAATAACACAAATACTAAATAACAATGCATTTAAAGTCCCTGTGCTCCTCAGAGTCCGAGTTGCTTCATATGGCACTAACACGTCACAGATGTACTTTGAGGCCATGCAGAGACTAGTCTAACCTACTGGAGACAAACAAATCTCCAGGTCTGCTTTAGACACTATATTTTTCTATTTTGGCAATCTTCTGCAGATGTTAGAAAGCTGCTTATGTCACCAATGTGATGTGGCTATTGATATATAAGTCAGAGTCCATTATTACCTCTAGATTTCTGACCTTATCTAAGGAGAGAGACTGAAGGTGACAAATGACGCTCTCTCTTTGTGAACACTTTTGGAGTGTTCACAAAGTCCCAGATTCTGAACAGAGTTGCACTTTTGCTCAGAGCAAGAGTCAGCACAGTTCAGTGGCAGGACTGGCATCATACTTCCCAGTATAATGGACAGGGGTCAGTGTTTGCACCGTAATACTCACCCAGTGCTGGTGAGGAGGAGGCGGAGAGGGGCGGTGGGGGTCAAAGGGGCTCAGATGTAAACAGTCACGCCCTCCTCTGGGAACACTGAACAACATTACATACAGTATGTAGTCCATCAGCAAACTGGTGCCATATCTGTTTGTGTGTTAACCATCTGGACGATAAGCTTTGTAACGTTTCCAGAATAGGTCAAAGTTAGTCACGAAGACAACGTTATTCAGAGCTGCATGGAGACTGCAGATACATGTTCAACGCCACAACACGACTGTGGAGGTTTACTGTTGGGACTGGACCAGTAATAAAACGGATAATCGGCGGAACAGATCCATAAGTGCTTCTTTGTTACTTCTGATAGCTGAAGTTTCATTTATCACCCTGCGCACGATCTCCTTGGAAATGGCGTTGGGCAGGGAGCGAAGCAGGCGAGGGAGACGTAGTATGCATGTCTTTGGGGATACAGTGAGTGACCAAGTTGAAAAAGCGAATGTGTCTCACAATGGCATCTCCAATCATCAAAGCAGTCGGGGCAAAGAGTGGACGTGGACAGAACCAGCGGACTCACCTGAAGCAGGACCAACGCTGTGTGCTCGGGGGTGCTGGAGCGGCGAGAAGAGCTGGATCGGGGCGCTGCTAATGGCCCAGGGGAGGTGAGTGGTGGTGATGGCTTGCTACCCCGGTCTGATGCTGCCGCACTGGGGTCAGAGAAGCAGAATCGGCCAACATGCCTATCACTCTTTTGCCTGAGAACTGCTTCCTTTAAGAGGGTCTTTCTCGCAGAGGACTTGGATTGGTGTGGAGCTGTACAATTCGCTGCGGAGTCCAGGGGTTCTGCTGAAGGGGTCAGTGGAGAGGGCTGCAAAGCGGTTTGACAGACTCAGAACATGGGCCACGACACTGGATGGTTCTTGGCAGTCCATAGGCTCGTTATTCGGAGCCAGGAGCTCAGGCGTTGAACAAGAGGGTCCAGAACTGACAGACCTCTCCCACACAACAATGTCACAGTATTCTGCGTTCAGTGACATTAGCTGCGAGTGCTTCCCACCAGCGACTTCAAAAAGTTTGGACACAAGAGGTTATTTCTCATGCAACTCTGAGACAAAGGACTTCTTTTTGATTCCCTGAAACCAGTGAAATAACATTAAAAACATAAAAAGATAAAACACTAAAATGCATAAAAACCACTAAAATGAACAGTAAGAAGTTTTTAAAAGTATACTAAAAGGTGCACAGAGCAAAGACTTCAAGCCGTGCGACCTACCCAAGGAGCTGAGGCAGGAAAGATGGAGATTCTGAACTGTCTTGCATTTTTGTTGGGAGTGATTGGCAGATTGTTGTGAGATGTAGGGATGGTTATTGATCGTGTTGTCAATAACTGCATATTTTTGGGTTAGCATGGTTAGCTTTGCATCGTTACAAGGGCAGACATGTTGCTAATCCAAACGTTTGTTAAATTTGCCATGCTATTATACAGTAGATAGATAAATATATTATGCAAAATGTACTTCTTTGAGCTTTTGACCAGCTACAACATTGATCAACATCAGAAACAGACCTGGAGTTATTTGTAGAACATGTATCTCCACCCCTTTTGAAAAAAAACTCTCAGTCTCAGTTCGATTAAGCCCGCCCTAAACCTGTGATACTGAATTGTAGCAGGAGCTGCAGCACGGTGAGGACTAGATCCTTTTTTTTAACATTTGTTCAGGAAAAACCAAGACATACATACATGTCACTGTCCTTAGACCCTTCTGCATTGGCATGAAAAAATCCTTAAAAATCCAGTGGTAAAATTAATAGAAACTTCAAGGAGACCAATATTGAGAGAGAGATGCGCTTCCACGGATAGAAAGGCTGTAGATCCAAATAGGATTTTTATTTCTATATTATATAGCCCTTTCAATGGTAGGTCCCACAGTTTAGTATGAGCTAAGCATTGCATATTACTGTGCCTCTGATAGACGACACCATTTCATTTCCCTTCTGTCCCCTTGTACACTACACCACATGTAATTTCATCATTAACCACGCTCTGGTAATGTGTGCACAGTGAAGCCCTCCGTGCCGCAGTGCTGGGTGGAGGGGTCCCAGGCGGAGGGGGAGCCCGTCACTCTCCTCTGTAAAGCTGCCAGAGGCTCCGGGCCCCTGACCTATACGTGGAGGAGGCAGAGCGGACCACCGGGAGCAAGTCTGCAGCCACAGGGTAAGTGCGCCTCCCACTGACCACATGAGGAACTGCACATCAAAGAGAGAGAGAGGGTACAGCAACAGGTCTGAGTGGAGACTATAACATTGACCAGAATTACTTAGTAGATACTCAGCAACTTAGCAGATTTCATCTACTAAAAAAAAAAAAACCATTGGTACCGAAAGCCAGCTAAAAGTATCTAATACAATCTGACTAGTTTTTCTCTCCAAACAGTTTTGTTCACTATTACCAAAGTACACCTGTGACATGTTAGAGCGATATAAACCAACTCGGACTCTGAGGAACACAGGTACTGGCCTGCTGCTGGTGCCCAGAGTCAGGCATGCAGCTAAAATCTGGAACAGTCTTCTTGAAAATGTGAGACAGGCTTCAACACTGACATGTTCAAAAGGTGAAAAACTATTTTAAGTAAGTAAGTAATCTTTCTCAGACCAGATTCACAAAGCGCTTTTCAATTAATACAGTGTTTTAAGTGATAGGGAAAACCTACGTAGACACGGGGAGAACATGCAAACTCCACACAAGGTCTGGAGTTAGAAAAACCAGGACCTTCTTTCTATGAAACACAAGCACAAACCTGTGCTACCGACTCTTGTATGCACAGCTAACAGCGTGCCGTGTTGCTCGTAGCTGTGCATACAATTAAAGGATTGTATCATTTATGATTTCATGCTTTATATGATCTTTTCTTGTATGATCTTGTTTTGTGAAGCTTTGTGCCTCTGGTGTATGTGTGTGCTATACAAATACACACTACCAGCTACCAGCTTATAATTACATAGAGTTTTTGTGGAGCTGTAGAAACAAGAACAAAATCTCAATATAAATAAATATGTTGTATCTAACTTAAGAACATCAATATTTTTTCCTTTTTCAGTCACTGACAATGTTAATAAGGACTAAGGATTCTTTTGCAGAGAGTGCAAGCGGAGAACTGCGGATCAGCAACCACTCGCAGAGCCACGGGGGACTGTACCTCTGTGAAGTGAAGAACGCCGTGGGCTCGGAACAATGCCAGCTTCACCTCAGAGCCAGCAAACGTGAGTGCACAGTGCTCTGTATCCCAGCCAAGCCTTTTCATGGGTCCAATAAGCCTCTGCAAAAAAGCGTTTTCAATCGAGAAATGCTCTGTACACGCAATTATGTTGTTAAGGGGTCACAAGCAGGGGGACTGCTGAAGCTGCACACAAACCTGGAGTTGGATATAGCTGCATCCACATTGAAGCTACCTGTAACTACTTTGCTTCAAAAATAACGCATGTCGTTTGTATTAACAGAAAGCATCTTGTAAGAGTAAAAAAATCACTATTTTACACTTTAGGCGGGGAGCTGATTGGCTTAGTGAGGGTAAAACTCTCATTTTCACTTTTCTATTCGAACAAAATATGTTCAAAAGATGTGACAGAAGCTAGACTAAAGCTAGTGATAGAACCAAACTGTTCTTGGAGGCTATAAGCCAGTTAGATCCATTTTATTTAATTTTTGTGGTTTGAAATCTAAGTAACCCAGCTTTAAAATGTATTTTTTTTTGTCACAACAACAAAAGCTGGATTGGTGCAACCTGGATTCATATTTTGTTATTAAAAAATAGTAGATTCTTCAACACTTGGTCTAGTATTGGAGGATTTTCCCAAATTTTAGAAAGAACCGCCCTTGCCACTTTTTGAGCTAAACTCTCTGGTCTTATTTTTACGAGCACATATCACCAGAATAATTGACAATCGGGAGGACCAATAGTCTTGATAATCCACCCAGAAGTAGAAAATCCTCCTATTTACCTTCAAGTTTCTGTATTGTGACAGTGTAAACAATTAAAAAGGGGCCTAGTAAACTCCCCTGGGGGATCCCACACAGTCATTGTCATAGCATTCACACAGCATGCATACTACAGACACAAATACATGATTATGCCATAACCTCCTAAGGAAACAGGATTGGGTTTCACTCCGTCAGTCAAATCCAACATTCTGGGATGAATCACGACCAATTCAAACTCTAAACGCATGCATAAAACATTGCACCCAACTGTACAAACACAAGTATTCTGCCCAAAGCGATCTCATTTTCACCTACTTTCACTACTACTCATTTTCATTCTACTGTCAACCCCCAGACACCATTTACACCTCTTTTAATATTTACTATAGAAAATCTAAGCAGAAACCTTTGGAGTTTGATCTTTCACTGAGCAGAGACTGTTCGCACATATAATTAGGGTAAATCTGTCATCACTGGCCAAAACTACAAGACTACAGCTACAAGAATTCAAGCACTTTTTTTTTTGAGCGCTAATGGGATTTGTAATTTCTCCACGGAACTAGCGCAAGAAATCCTATTCCAAGAAGGTTTTCTTTCTCTTCCCTTTCATCGCACGTACTTCCCACAAAACGCGTCAATGGTGTCGTAGTAATTGTTTATTGGGAATGCCCATTAGCTTATATTAAATACAGACAAGGCAAAGATCCAATACAGTCAATATAAGTAACCAATTAACACAGGGGGGAAAAAAACAAACAAACGGCATCAAGGCAAGCTGTTTCCAATCTGTACAGGCAAAAAAATCCCCGCCAGAGTGTGAATATTAAATCATGATTACATTAAAGATATGAGAGGCCGTCTGAAGAGGCTGGTGAAGCACATTTGCGTAAACGGCAGGTAATTACACTTAGCAACAGGTGCAGTGTTGCAAATGAGAGCTTATCACAGACCGATGCGAGCCGATGGGGAGGTATGGGAGCGCTGAGGAGCCAATGGCAAACTATTAAGCACGCTGAATGAACGAGATATTTTGTAATTAAGGAGATGACAAGGGGTTGGAGGGGATCTCACATATTCAGTAGAAGCATAGTAAATGATGAGATTAGTACAGATGTGAAGCAAAGGCATAGGTGATAAGAACTGCAATATGCTGTTGAAATATAGACTCATGAACAATTTCAATTCAATTTGTTTTAGTATTGCCCTAAATCAAACCATTAGTTTTCTGTTAAAGCTGGTAATAAACTACAATGCCTGGACAAAGACAACACAACAGACAAGGATACATTTTTTACTTGGAATCACAAGGAGCACACGCATGGTCACGGCACAACGCTGATCTTGGCGCTGTGACCGTGCGTGCACTGAACTCCTTAGGTCACAGGCCTATTTATTCAGACAAAAACACACCTACATCACAGTCACATTATTGTCACTCCAAAGATTCTATATGGTCCAAACCATTAGTCTGTTGACGCAGTTCAAACATTTTTGCCTAAAAAGGTTTTCAGTCTCATCTCATGCTGACAACCCAAAAATCACATATGGACATCCATTAACAATGCAAACATGAAAGACAACGGTTAGAAAGTAACACATTGACCTGTTAAAATGAATTCACCTTTGCAGTCATAGTGAACATTGGCAACAGTTAGTTGCCAATAGTTAGTTAGACAATGCATTAAATATTCATTAAAATGATATAACTTCTATAACTCTATTATCATTTTCTCAGAGAATTTTCCAAAGTTCGCTGAGAACGATTTGACAACATCAGAGAATGAAACAGTTCAAACAAAGGAAATGCAACAATGAAGGCAGGATGACCAGTGTCCATAAATGTAAAAAGATCTTGGGAGATATTTGAAAGTTCTGTTTTCAATTATTTCTTCAGAAAATGTCCAAAATGTGTCTGGCCTACAGAGAAATAATTTGGACTGAGGTTTTATACACAAAATGATCGTTATTCCAATAATGTGCAATTAATGTAGGTGAAAAAATCCTGTTTTTTTCATATGTACATTTATTGCTGGAGCCCAAGAAAAAAAAGTAAAAATCCTTTGTTGACATATTTTTTGTGTGCGGCTGTATTGTTCCAGGTTTTAATATTTTACACGCATGCCTGTTTGTTGCTTTGATGAAAGTTTGCTTTTGATCAGCAAAGTTGAAATAACCCTTCTACTCCCTACTCACCCAACGGGGAGCATACACCAGTGGGAAATTCCTCTAAACTCACATTTTTAATATTATTGTTGTACATACATTTTTCTGGTGTTTGAAGCTGGGCAAAAACAATCCCATTAAGACAAACGGCCACACGATTAAGCTATGCACATCTTCCAAAATAATAGCATGAATTGTCTTTTGTACAATGCTGGAAATCTTTGACCAAGCATTATTATAGAAACATTCATTCATGTCAATTATCTATCTATAAAATCAAGTAATACCTGTCTGTCGGGGTTCTTTCAAATCAGTGGTCCGTCCCAAACATTTGATTCATTTAAACGTTTGATTCTCTATTCTGTGTTTGCAATTTTGGGGGTTTGTTAAGTCCTCTGAGATAACTATGATTTTGATTTAGTGCTGTACAAGAATGCATTGAATTGAATTGAATTAGTAGAAGTGACACATTCTGACCAGCTCTGGTTCTCCTGGTCTTGTGCAGGTGTGAAATGTTTCTGTTTCCGCAGGACTAGAGTAACACGTGAGCGTTCTGACCAATCAGAGCTGAGTGCGGATGGCGGCACTCACTCACGTAGCTCTCATGCACGTGCACAGAGGGACATGTGAGCGTTCAGACCAATCAGAGCCGAGCGAGAGCTGGAGCCAAGTTTGTTTCACAAGCAATATTTCAAATTATAAAAAAGAAACAAGGGGCTCTAAAATACTCACAAAATCCAATATTTTGGAAAGTTGTAGGTTCCCTGTCAGCTGAGGATGAGCCGTTTAGTCAACAATGAGGTCTATGTAAAAACTGTCTTTCAAATAAATAAATGAAAGTCTTCTTGAAGGTTCAGTAAGCGAATTTGTTAGCTTAGCCGTAGCACCAACTGGAAACCACTCCCCCCCTCCCCTCGCCTCTCCACCAAACCAAACATCCAGCATCTTATTTTCTTTGTCACAACAGGGAGAGTGGGCAGCAAACATGAAATTGGCATTTTCTGTTCAGCCCTTTTAGGTTTTAGAAAATAATCTGATAAATCGGTTGCGTGCACTTGCAAGAAACAGGAAGAGGGGGAAGGAGGTAAAGGTATCCCATTGGTTCGTTGGGAATGAACGAATACCATTGGTTTATTTTTATCGGTCCGCTCCAAAATATTCATTAATTTTTTGAGACTATAGGCATTTGGTCAATTCCATTACTATCTGAAAACACATGATCTCTTGACACTTTACCACAGTATAAAATAAAAATGTGTCTGGAGAAAATCCCTGACTGCATCTCCCAGCGCAGTGCACCCAGAACCCCAGGGAATCCCATTACAATGACATCTTCCTGTCTTCCCTGGGATGAGAAGCCAACACGGGTCCAAACAACACAGCAACCTTTCACTGTTGTCCTGGGTCACAGTGGGAAGAATGAGAGAAAACAACTATAGCACAATTAAAAGCTGTAAAAAGTGAAAGTTATGTCCCTGTCCATTGCACATATTGCTTTTTCAGTCTTTATGCTTGCTGAGGTAGGATTTACATGAGTTCAAAATATCTTTTGTTTTGTTGTCAGCTCCTAATCGAGCGGCGGTGATCGTGGGGACAGTGATCGGCTGCATCCTCCTCCTTCTCATCCTCCTCCTCTTCATCGCAGTGCTCTACTGGAAGCTCCGGTCTCGGCACTCGTACGACAAAGATCTGTCCAACGACATCAGGTACAATACACACTAGAGTATTTTTGTACATTAATTATTGTGAGTGTATAGACCCCAGGAAGAATAGCTACTGCATTTTTCAGTAGGTAATGGGGATCTACATAAAAACAAACAAACAAACAAACAAACAAACCCCTTACACTGTACTAACTGGAACTAAAGACAGAAAGAAAGATTGGTTTGATGATGTCATTTCCCCTAAAGACTTTCTAATCCAATTCAGTGTATTTTTGCATAGCCCTAAATCCCAACAACTCGTCTTGGAGGACTTTACAAAGTTGCCAAATGACCACCAACAAATCAGAGAATCCAACAGTTCGAACACATAGATGCAATAATAACAAACACATAGAAGTCAATGGTCCATAGGGAGCGGGATGACCACTGTCCATAAATGTAAAAAATGGCCATAAAAATCCTAACATCTCCTGAATCTCCTGGATCTTCACTGTCCTTACACCGCCCTGCTTTGGGGAAGGAACGACTCATCTTGAATGTCATCTTGGTGCCATTTTAGACTTCCATAGCACTGGTTCCTCGCTCTCAAAACTGGTTCTATCACTAGTTTTCTCATGACTGTACCGTCACATATTGAGATCCGCTTTTTCGGTGGAAGAGAGAGCACCATCCCTCACTCAGTCAATCAGCTCCCAGCATGTAAAAGATATGTTACATGTTTTCTAATGTGGTATGATTTGGTCAAAAAGTGTTACTAAAGACTATTACTTTGGACGAACACAATGCATTTATGAAACAAGCACACAAGTTAGCTATCCACCGTGCCGCCAGGATGGGTCAAATGCAGAGGACACATTTCCATATAGAGACACTAAAGTATACCTTAAAAAACCTTGACCCAGCTGCATCAGTTCCCTTTGTACTTCTTTGTACTTTGCGCTCAGCTCATAAAACAGAAACACATCGGAGACTTGATGTTCTATCATTTCACACACACACAGTGGCTCTTGCTTCAGCAGGCAGCGCTTTATTTTAGGAAAAGTTCAAGTCTCTAACTTTGAAGCTTGAAAGCGCATCAAATCTACTCAGAACACAAAGGTTTCAAACGCCACCGAAAAACACCAAAGGCACTTAGGGAGAATAGGATTGTTTTAGACGAGTGGATCTGCCATCTTGACCTTTTAATGACTTCACTCTTTACATAATGAGGATTTAATTGCTTAACTTTCTTGCTATTGCTCGGATCGTTTTTTTTTTTATATACCATCTAAAATAAGAATGAAAAGCGATTGCATGAAAGTAGCTAATTCGTTTCAAGGTTTGTTTTCCATTACGTTCAAATGCAGGAGAATAAATTGTCAATCAACAGCCCGATACAACATTTGTTCATTAATCCTGTATTGAGCTAGCGGGTTAGCATTGTCCATTATTATACAGTCTGTGCTTTCAACTCCATCTTTACCACAAGATCCCGAGATACTTGAACTACTGGATAGGAGTGTGATATATCGATTTTGTGATGTATCGTGATACTTTCTCACGCAATCAATTATCAATATTCTTTTGCCAAATATCAATTTTTATCTTTTAAAAAAAATAATTTGTATCAATACTTAATATATGGCTATATTACGCATCTCATAATAATCTGCTTTGACCTGAACATATAGTTCTTTGACCCAGATATTGCCAAAGAAACACATCTCCATCTACAGTATCAGCTGACCTTGCGGCCAATAAACCATATATGTTGTATTTGAATCCAGAGTTGAGAATTAGTTAATAACTTACACTTATATATATTTCGTGTTTATTCAGATTGCTTTACTAAAAGATTTCTATAACAGTCACTATTTCTGACCATTTCATTTCATTTTTTCATTTCATTTTCAACCCCTTTATTTGTCCATTTCTGGGTCGGGGGGGTGGCAATGAGGGCTGCCACCCAATGCTCATAGCACCAGTCCCTCGCTGATCTTCTGCAGGGGGTGAGTCCACAGGAAGATGGCTGCTCCATCAGTTGAGAAACCGATCTTTCAGCGGGGGGCTTCAGGCAACGTGGGGTTAAGTGTCTTGCCCAAGGACACAACGACAGCAGTCATCAGTGGGAGCAGTTGGAGTAGGTCCCATGGTGGGAATCGAACTCACGACCTCCAGGCCCAAAGGCCAATGCTCTACCAACTGAGCTACTGTCGCCCCATATTTCTGACCAATGTATTGATAATCGTCATATCGTGGTATAATCGTTATCGTGAGCTTTGTATCGCGTATCGTATCGTGAGGTACCCTGAGGTTCCCACCCCTACTACTGGAGGAGGAAGGACCTCTCCACACAACAATGACAATACACTGCATGCAAAGAACGACTCAAACGGAGCAGGCAGAAGCAAAAGAGCCCAGCAAACAATTACATGTGCGATGCCAAAATTGCATGTTTAACTTGAGTACCCACCAAGGCCATGGATTCTTCTCAGCATTATAATTAAAATGTAAGATCCATCAGTCTGATTGTTTTTCCTGCGCGCGCACACACACACACACAAACACACCCACACACACACATATTAGCCCATGATGGCAATTTCGGCCAACATTATGGATAGCCTTTTTTTTTTTTCTCTCATTGCTGAATAGTGAAGATGCATTGAAATATTTAATTTGCAAAAACATATGTGCAGTACATGTATCTTTTTTCCCATACATGTATTTACAATATACATTTTTATATGTATAATCAGAATGTTTTATCCGTGAGTTAAAGCAACATTTTGTGAACAAATCACGCAACAGGCAGTCTTCATCTTATCAGAAAACATTTTTTAAATCCCTGTGAGTCACTATTTGAGGATTTGGGCTGAAAGCTTAGTCTCTTTTTCACTTTTCTCTGTGGATAAGCTGATATAGAGACGAGACCTAAGCCAAAAATATTACAGATAGAACCAAAATGTAGAGCCAGGAAGTATTTTCTGACAGTCTGACAGTCAGTTTTACCCAACCCTAGTTCTATATCAGTTCTATCCATCTTTATTTCATTCAGACCTAGAAATCTTCTCAATATTTTTTGAATAGTTTTAGTTTCGTACCTTGTGTCTCTGAGAAATGATTTGACGCTTTGTCCTTTTGATTATGCAAATGTTCTGCACCGAGCCATTGTTTCCAGAAAGAATTCAAATTTATTGCCCAAAAAGCTGTTTTGAGTTTGACATTGGAACAGCAGAGAGGTGGGTGGACAGCGTGGAGCAACAATCACGCACAATTTCTCCCATTTCGAGCCGTAAGACCGTCCTCTGCTGTGGTATTTTCTCCTCACATGTGTCACGAGCTGCAGCCTGGGCAAAGTGTAAACACTGCTGTTTTAGAAATGATTCATGATTTGTGTCAAAGCGGGACCTGAGGGTAACCGCGCTGTACGACGGGAAGAGGAAGAACTACGACTTATATTTGTGCTTAAAAGTTTACGCACTCAGCCAAAGATTTCAATGTTATGGGGATTATGATGAGGCCAAAACATACACTCATTGTTAAATAAATAAATAAATAAAATTAAATAAAAATACAATTTAATAATGGGTTTTTGATTTTCAGATTAGAATGTTCAAATTATCAATCAATCAATCAATCAACGTTTATTTATAGAGCGCCTTTCCTACACAAGGCAACGCAAAGCGCCTCACAACCCATATAACATCATGCATAAATCATCAAACATTAGAATTTAAGTAAACATAAAAGGACAGATTAAGAGCACAAGATATATAAAATCACACAAGTAGTTAAAAACCGTAAGTAGTTAAATTATAATGACAATGGTGGTGCAGCGGTTAACTTGTGCTTTAGCTTGAAGTCCTGGGTTCAATTCCACCTCCAGACGGTTCAATGTGGAGTTTGCATGTTCTCTCCATGTCTGCTTTCATTTCCTAAAATCTGGAGCAGTCTTCCTGAAAATATGAGACAGGCCTCTTCTCTGGCAATGTTTATATCCAGGCTAAAAACAGTTTTTACATGTAGTCTTTTACTTGTATCTTCACTCTTTTAATGCACTGTGATTAATTATGAATGTAATGCCTTGAATGATTGTTTCTATCGTGTTTAACCCTTTAATGTTTCCTCAACCATTTGGTGGATTATTTTTTGAGTCACTTTATCCACTTGATGCTTGGAACTGAAATCTACCTCATTGGGGCATCGCTATTACTTACATCGCTAAACAGAACTGTTTTTAACCTGGATTCAAACATTGTCAGAGAAGAAGCCTGTCTCACATTTCCAGGAAGATTTTAGCTGTATAAATCTGAAATGTAGCCTCCCCATGTTTAGTCCTGACTCTGGGCACCAGCAGGAGTCCAGTCCCTGTGCTCCTCAGAGTCCTCCCTGGTTCATATGGCACCAACATGTCTCCAATGTACTTTAGTGCCAGGCCATGGAGAGACTTATACACAAGCAGAGCTGATTTAAAGTCTATTCTCTGGGCCACAGGAAACCAGAGAAGAGAGTATATGCAAATACAGTTGTGGATCTAAATGCTAACACCAGAGAAGCTATAGGAGCAGACAGAGCAATGCGATGGTCTTCGAAGGGTGGCACAGGAAATCTCTGCCGTACTGAAGTATGTGCAGGCCTTGAGCGGAGGATGGAGAATGGGAGTCAAGCAAATACTGGTCAGTTTGGAGAAACCCAGACTCTTCCAAGGCCACCAGAGATACAAATGTAAATCTAGTCTATTGTGGAGCGTTTGCAGTGTGTGGGTGGAATAATGACGAATTCTGTATGTTTGCATGTGCAGGCAATGTTCAAAAGTAAGTATTTTTAATTTATGTCGTGCCTTTCATAGACCAGAGTCACAAAGCGCTTTACAAATGTTGTGGGCATTTGTCTTCACACAGAGATGGGAGCGAGGTCGCCAGTACAAGAGACGCATGCAAGACCTATTATACATGTCTTTAGTGGTAGGGAGCATCTGGAGGACACTTGCGCAGACACGGAGAGAACATACAAACTCTACTCAAAAAGGCACTGTTCAGACTGGGATTCGAACCCAGCTGTAGTATGTACAGTACATACATAAAGTACAGGTTCCCAACATTAGAATATCGTTCAAAAGTACATATATTCCTCTTTTTTGACCTAAAGGGAGTGTCAGTTACTTATCTAATTGTGAAGAGAGAGAGTGTGTAACTTTTTGAAGACCCATGCTTACCAGCGCAGCTTTCTGATTGGTCGACGTTACTTTTAACCTTGTTTTATTTACGTACTTGTCTTGTGAATTCTGGGGACTTTGGCGAATGTATTCCAATTACAGTAGGTTTTGGTGAAAATGGCAAATAAAATGAATCTGAATCTGATTAATTCAAAAATTATTTATTATATAGTTGAAAAATACGTACTTTACTTAACCAACACATTGTAACCAATTGATAGATAGATTAATAGATACTTTTTTTGATTCCTGTAGGAGAAATTCAGGAGTCCAGCAGCAGCAACGCATCCATACAAACACATAAGTACATTAATTATGAATATTTACAACTAAATAACTAACTCTAATAGGCTTGAATTAAGGCTCGATACATCTCACTTTGCATAAAAAGTGTATTTTGGTATATTAATTTCACATTGTAAGTTGAATTACAGAAGTGAATGGACTTTTGAACAACATTCTGATTTTCCGAATTTCAACTTTATTTGACTTTGAGCAGGCCGTTACAGACATCCTTTTCTGCAGCACAATCAAAGTACTAGTTTTTCTCTGTCATTAGTCAGTGCACTGCCACATATGTCAGCTGTACTTGCACTGTGCCGTTGAATACATTTTGACTAGATTAAGTTGGTAATGTACTGCTCTTTGCTTGTCTTTTGTTTGTTCTCCCGTTTCTCTTCATTCCTTCTATATTCAGCTTGTTCTCACACATTTCTCCGTTCATGACCAGGGCCATGTCGTTTATAACACATGCCCAAGTATTCAATGCTTTATTCTGTGATAGACGGTGGAACAACTTTACATAGAGTTCAAAGACAGTAATCATTATTATCATTCATTATTTATAATTATTGTGTTGTCAATCTAATGAAGAGACCTGCGTTTCCAAAAAGCTAGCATGGGGTCTTTCACTTACCTCATTTAAACCAGGGATTATAATTGGGTCAATCATTCTTTTCATCCATCATCACTCAACCATCAGTGCGTAACCTTTAACAGATACATATTTACAAAAAATGTGCAAATGCACGGAGAGTGCTTAACCTGCAAAGACCACAAATTTCATCTTAACATTTTGATTGTTTAAAACAAAAATAATCACATCTCATCAACACGGGGCGACAGTGGCTCAGTTGGTAGAGCATTGGCCTTTGAGCCTGAAGGTTGTGGGTTCAAGCCCACCACGAGATTTACTTCACGACTCCCACTGCTGGCTGCTGTAGTTGCGTCCTTGGGCAAGACACAATCACACTTTGCCTGAAGCCCTCGCTGGAAGATCAAAACTCCTGTGGACTCACCACCTGCAGGAGGATCAGTGAGCTATGTGTGCCGGGTGCAGCTCTGACTGCCATCCCCCTTAATTCCCCAGAAATGGATTAAGGGTAAGAAAATGGATGGATCTCATCAACACACTTCATGCACGCACACACACACACACACTCGTGGGACGTTTAGGGACATTAATGGACATTGGTCATCGCACTCCCTATTATATACTTCTTTAGACTTGGGCAAACTGCACATGTCTGTGCGGCTCGGAGGTTCTTCAGGAGTCCGTGTCCAGTGAAGGCGCGTAACCTAATATGTTCTACCATGGCATGTTATACATGTATAATGTACGTGAAATAAATGAAATCAAAATGTTATTAGTAATATTTTGCTCTAAATAAAATTTCCCCAAACACAAAGACAACACTGGATATATTATATATTTAACAGATTAAATAAATATACTTTTTTAAAGTTGCTTTTTTGCCAAAATAAATGAGAATTTAATTTTTTTTTTTTTTAAATGGGCCCTCCACAATAGGGTGATTTGCCAGTGTGGCCCCCTAATGATAAAAATGGCCCACCCCTGCTTTAGAATGATGGCAAATGTTTAGAGTGTTAGTGTAATTTCAAAGTGTTTGTATTTACTGAAAAACGACATTTTGTGACAATATGTAAATGTAAACACATTATATATGATCACATAACGAAATGCATGTAAGTGTCTTCATTGTTACGTTTTTGTCTCGGTTTCTGCAGAGAGGACGTGCCGCCTCCAGAGAGCCGGCCGGTCAGCCGCAGGACGACCCGGAGCAGTGGCCCCTCCCACCACCACGTCACCTACGACCCACTGGGGGGGACGGAGCTCAGCTGGTCCGATGACCTGCACTCAGAGCTGCCCTCAGACCTGGCCTCCAGCAAGAACCAGGTCCACAGCCCGCCCCTGTACGACAGAAAGTACGGCTACGCGGTCTGAGAGACGGAGCGACAGGACTCAATGGAAACAGAACTGTGAAGAACCACACTAAGGAAAAACTATCAACAATCAGACATGAACATGCAGAATGTTTTGTTTTTTGTGGAATGAAAGTAAGTATGAAATAGTTTAACACCAATACTATTGTGAAGAAACAAACTTAACATTCAGCAGGAAGTGGAGACGACATGACTTAATCCGTTTTAAAGAGCGTTTTTTGGACACTCAAAGATGCTTTAAGGATTTATTCATTCACTACATACACAGTGGTGATAAACTACTAAAGTAGCCACAGCTGCCCTGGGACACACTGACAGAGGCAAGGCAACCAGTATGTGCCATCAGCCCCTCCAACCACCAATAACCATTTACACACACACCAGACTCATTCAAGGCAATGTGGGTGAAGTGTCTTGCCTAAGGACACAATAACAGTTTGGCAGTTTACAGCCACCGCCGCCCCACTGTGGTACCCATGGTGTTCCCGGAGGTCTCCCATCACAGTACTAACCAGTCCCTAGGTTGCTTAACTACTAACTTGTGTTAGCATACTTACCTTAGCTGTTAGCTTCCTTGTTGGCGCTCGTTTACTAATTGAGAATACATGAGCGTTCTGTAGCTACTACAACTTGACTAAATACTTTCTTAATTTTTGATTAATCCGGTGGAAAACCAAACATTGTATGGGGGATTTCTTAGAATTAAATAGATTTGAATGGGAGCAGTTCAAATGACGGGTCTGTTAACTGGTCACAATATGATTTAAGGACGAGCTGTTGACTTGATCAAAGCTAAATGTGAAAATGAACAAGGAAAATTATTTACCTTAGCTGTTAGCTTCTATGTTAGCGCTCTCTGAAACTTGATGGAATCAGGAATCCACAAACTCTGCTCTGGCCCAGCTTTACCATAATGAGGTCGCAGGTTCAAAAAACGTAATAACCTGTCTGTCACAGCAGCTGCGGTGGTTTTTGCTGCTGGGTGTGTAGTCCAGCAAGTACGGTATATTGTAAAATTGTGAAAACATTTTTTTACCCTTCTTACATGTTTTACCATATATTTTCTACATGGAATGACATGGGGAATTAGCGTCTGTAATTCCCCAAAAGAATGAATGAATGGTAAATGTGCTTGATATAATTTTCATTTTCTGCAAATATCATCAACAATTAAATGATTTGCCAGTCCAGCAGAAAAAAAATGTAAAAGTTTTAGACAAAATTCAGACCAAAGTCCTGTAGATTATAAAACTAAAAATCAAGCTGTTTGAGGCTGATTGTTGGTTTAATATGAAGACAATCAGTGGAAAATTGGAAAAGTGAAAATAAAAAACATTAAAAACTACTGAAGAACAAACACTTTCCTCTCGTCAGAAGCCAAGTCTTTTCTAAATTGTCGCTTTTTGGAGAATAAATCAATAGAGGCACTTGCAAAGACATCTGTAGAATCTTTTTGGACACATTCATTATTTTGATTTTTGTATCAATACGTGATGTGCGAGACAGAAGCCCTGAAGTCTGACAGACAAGCCAAAATATGGATGTTTCTCTCAAGAGTCGCTCAAAAGTAAGACAGCGAAGTCTCAAAAGAAGTAAATGTGAAAAAGTGGTTTGCGAGTTCAAGCCGTTTTTACTTTCAATACTGTAAACATATTAGTTTTCTATATAACTACCGTTTTTTTGTTTGCTGTATTTTTTCTGACATTATTTAAGGCGTTTATGCATTTTTCACATCCCTCTAATATAATTTGATCTTATTCTGATAATCTGTTTACTATATTGGATTGTGTTTGTAATAAACTGTTGAGAAAAATTCTACCTTGGTCATTCAAAGTATCATTCACGCCTGTGGGTAGTACAAAAAAAAAACAGAAGCATTTAGTTTTAAATCAAAATGAATATTTATTTGATAGACCTCATTTGGAAATATTCAACAATGAAAAAAAAAATGTACACAAGTAAGTATGCATTTTCGGAGGATGTTTGAAGAGTTGAAGTGAGAATAGAAACCACATGCAATGGGGTGTGTTCCATTACATAGACCGTATCAAGCCGCTCCATCAAAGACATGAGGAGCGCAGAAAATGTAGTGGCCTGTGTCGTTTTGTGACTACAAAATGATGTTCTTACACTGATTGTGCTGCGAATAAACTGGAAAAACACGGAGCAGGTAGAAGAGTGTATCAGGCCTTAGCAGGTTTCACACTTATGGTTTACAGTACATTTAGGCCGACAATTCATATTCCTCATTAAAAATTCAATGTCACCTTTCCACCAAAAATAACAGACATCTGAGTGTTGATTTTTTATATATGTATATATTTGGATTCATGTCTGTCCCAGGGCAGCTGCAGCTATAACAGTGCTCTTGATGTTTGGGCATTACGGTGGTATTATCTTTCTCACTTCTCTGCAAGAAGGTCCTGGGTTCAAATTGTGGTCTGAACGAGGCTTTCCCGAGTGGACTCTCCATGTTGTCTGGTTTGTCTTAACACCAAAAACATGTACAATAGATCAAATCCTCCAGCTCCTGACAGAGGCCCAAGTGGCATTGGAAGGATGGCTCAAAGGAAGATGACAAAGTTACAGATGTGGACCAAATAACTTAACTTAGTTAGTAAGTTTACTTTCCAATGTAATTTCTATAGCAGCTAGAGTGAATAGTAGCAAAACCTTTTCCATGAGCATTCCTTATTGGGCTTCATTGAGCTCATATTTTTCTAATAAACCGTATTTTGCAAAAAAATGAATATATGTCCCACACAAATTGTGTACTGTTTTTATCACGGCCTGTCACATATAGTTCAAATTTGTTTAAATTGTTCTAATTGGCAATTTCGCAATTATTTAACAATCGTTGAGTCTTTGAGATCATAAACAGTTCAGTGTCATTCAGCCAACTTCAGCTCAGTCCATATAGGCATGTTATACCTTGTGGTAAAGCTCAAAAGCAAAGGAATGTTTTTGTATATCCTGACACCTGTTTTGGATTATGTCACAAAATCTCATATATGTTGCTAATGTCGCCAGTGAGATTGCCATTCATGTCATTCAATCGGAACAGTCTGAATCAGTTTTAGTTTCAGTTTAGTTTCAGGCGGACTAAAGTGGCTCTCTTACTTAAAGGTATATAGGAGGATTTACTATTTCTATGGATCATTGAGACTATTGGTCCTCCCAATTGTCAATCATTCTGGTGATACCTGCTCATCAAATAAAACCAGAGAGTTTTGTTCAAAAAGTGGAAAAGGTTATTTCCTAAAATTTGGGAAAAACCTCCTATACACCCATAAAGGTTTGGACACATCTGATTCTTTATAATTAACAATATTTACTCATTAACATAAAGGCTTTTTTGCAGCTTTGGTGGAAAGGTGACGACAAAAAAGTGCAAATTGTATATCAATGGAAAAAAAATCAACATATTTCACATATTTCAAGATCTATCTTTGAATCAATTCAACTGGCCGAGTTTGTACTTCTTGGCAACACTCGCTAAAAGTCGCAATGCTCAGTGGTAGTTTTATCTGAATTGGATCCTTCTGTTTCTTGACCGCGTATCTTTACATGTATACCAGTCTCTTTCAGCACCAATAAAAGCAAATAATAACAATTAAGACCCGTCACCTGTAAAAACTCAAGAACGATAAGGCAAAACCAACAGTGAGGATTCCATGCAGGCTGAACAACATGGCAATTTGGCTTCATTTAACAACAAAAAACATGGTTTGATTTTATGTGCAAAAAACGAAACATTGACCAGTATAACAGTACGAAGGGTAATGGAGACTTGAGTAAAGCATCATTGGTTTTCAGTGGGAAATATAAATAAAAAAATGGTCCAGTAGTTTTCTTTTCTTTCTCGGCCAACAGCTCGGTCAGTCCATAGTTGGCACGAATGTTTTTTTCTTCACTGAAATTCCGGGAATGTGTGTGGAGAAGCGTTCACCAGCAATGGGGACCAAGGGACTTCTGGAGAATTGAAAATGGGTGTATTCGTTTGGCTGGATTAGTAAGACCAGAGACCAGGTGTCGCTAATATCTCTCAGCTGTGGTAATATGTATAGCCATTCTTAGCCCTTGATGTTGCATTGAAGAGTTGGAATTGATGGATAAACCCTGAGAGTATAAGTTGACGCAATGTGGATGTTTGTCGCACTTCTTGAGGAAAAGTTTCAAAGGGACAATGGTTTTAAAAAAGGCCCTATAAGACCTCCCTCCCATTAACTTTATATAGGCGAGAAAGGTGTTGTTTACAGCTCGTGTTGGTCATAGATAGGAAATTCCGAGTGGTGATCATAAACAAGCACTAGCCAAATCTGTATTTCTTACAATTAGAAAAGCCAATAGATCTAGTCTTATTTGTTTTATATCAAGTGTAGTAGCATTTTTTCTCTCATGTCTTTTTATGTAAGGATATTGTATACATGTTCCATTGACCAAACAAAACTCTAATGCACTTCACTCAGAGAAGAATGAATACAAATAATAACATCTTTTTCCTTTCAATTTGAACCCAATACGCTCGACTGTCAGAGGAGGTAGTTTATTTGGTCACTGCTTTTTTCCTGTGAGAAGGCATTTCTGGGCCTGATAAATCTATGTACACACAATAAGCTGTGATCAAACCATGAAAATACTTTTAGATTAGTGTGTCAGCAATGCCTCAGACAAGCATTATGCAAAAGTTGTAAACAGGATGGGAAATTACATATTTCCACAAAATCATCACACCTCGTAGTTTTTCTTCCCAAGGCCTAAGGCCATCTAATAAGGCCTTAGGTGCACTTACGGTGCTGGAGTATCTAACTTCAAGTTTGCCCCAACAGAGAGGGTAAAAGAATACTGTGAACAATAGGCCAGTGCTTTCAGTTGTTTTCTTTATCTGCATAATTATAAGAAAGAGCCCTGTGTGTCGATTTGAGGCTGAAAGGTGATGGTCCTCTTGTTTTGCACATTTCTGTTTCAAAAATCTGTTTTAAAGATGTGACAGAGGCCAAACATGCATGCAATTAAAAACTAGATCGACAGAAACTCTGTTGTGTTTTGGTTTGAAAATTAGGTACCTCAGCTTAAGATAAAGGAAGGTTTTTGTCGTCATATCAACGAGGATACTTGGATTTGACAGAGCCCAGATGACTCCCTTTGAAACTTTTTCCAGCCTCCAAGACAAATAAGGGACAACATCCACTTTAGTTTGAAAGCAACTTTTCACACAGGGCCGGACTAAAAACTGTGTGTACATGATCGACATCTCATATCATTTCTTCAGATTGAAATCATCTAAAATGCATTTTTGAAACAGTCTCTGTCATGGAACACTCCTGAACAATCTGTTCAAACCATGGTCGAGCTGGTTTCAATGAAGACACAGCCACTTTCTCAAACCAAGCAAAGGACATTCTATTTATGAGTACGGTTACAAAGCAAAAGAATATGGGGAACATAAAAAAAAAAAACTGTAGCATTGCTCCCGATCCGGTCTGACCACTGTGGTCTCGGTCTATATGTGAGGAGCTTTGGCCAATTTTCCAGAGGGGGCTTTCAAAGGCAACATTTAACTTGCTACACAAAGTTTGGAACAGTAATTGGACACTTGATAATTTGACTTTCCATTTGAGTCTTTCCAATTCAAAGTTTTGCTTCACATAGCTGAACCGAAGCAATGAAAACCTGTGCGACAAGTAACTGTACGCCAACCAAATAACACAAATTTCTTCTATTAGCATTGGCTTTTCCCTGTGCTCTTAAATGCATCGGTTAGCCATGTCTCAGTAGTATCCATTTTTTTCATAGTTACGTGCCAGCGTAAAATGAGCAGATATGGTTTGATCCACTTACACAAAACAATCCCACAACACAGGTTTACATGCGTCTTGTTCAGTGGATTGGAATTGTATCAAAGGCGAAATACCCGGCTTCCATTAATACTCTGTAAACATACTCAATGTGGTCCTCAGCCTAAATACTGTATACCATGTCGCAGTATATATCGTAAATGTATAGTATACATTTGGCAGTGTCAAACGGAAGCTCCTAATGCAGTTCAATGGGCAGTGACTAAGTAAGAATGTGTCTCATGTGGAATATTGTCTATTCATCTTCATACACCCATTAGTTAATCATTTAATCATTAGCTTTATAATAAACAATGCCCATATTCATTGTACGACTCAAATTCAAGCAGTTTGCGTTCATGTGGGACATTTATCAACATTTTTGGACATTGGTCACCCGCCCCATTTGGACCAATGGCTTTTACGTGTTTGTTTACACTGTATTTCCTGTGTTGAAATCGAATACTTTAATTGATATTTTACAGTCTATTTGCGGTAAGGGGGAGTTGAAAATGTTTTCCTGGTAACTATGGTAACTGTAACTTTTAGATTAGAACTAATTTCTTTCCAATTCCAGTGACAATCCACATTAACCAAAATCTGTCACAAAAAGAAGTTCCAGATCTTAGCATATCAAAAAATTACTGTCTCCTAAAGATATATAGAAGTGACAAGTATGGAGAGGTGAGAATATTAAGAGTAATCTGGGAAAACAATCAAAGAAGTCTCATAGATTTCCCAAAGATTTGCAATAACCGCTGCCCTCCAACTGAAATGGAAATCTCGAACATGAACGCAACTCATTGAACCCCAACAATTTTTTGATAGTAGTGCAGGCAGGTCCAACTTTCTATTTTACTTCTAGTCTTTTCACATCAGAGTCCCTTGGTCCAGTAATATTGACTGTTTTTGAAAGATGCTCTTGCTCACTGCTGATGTTGAGATTTGGAGAGACGACCATTTCTCGAAGGCACCGTACTGTCCATTGGTCAGCGTGTGTGTGTGTGTGTATGTGTGTTTGTTTGGGCCACTTTTGGGCACATGCATACAACAGTCCAACCAGAAAGGTCCAGTGTCCGCCCAACAAGGCATCACCATGACAACTAAGGCAAAAAATCTCGACAAAAATCAGAAAAGCGGAATTTTTCCGTTTTTGTTTGTTTATCGGAACATATTTACGATTGGGACTAAAATCCTCACAATGATAATAAACTCTATTCAATAAATTATCTATACTGTACAATTATTTCACCATAGCGACAAAAACCGAGCCTTTTCAAAGTAAAGCTATCCAAATTCTCTGCAGCAAAATTTGCCACAATACTTTTCCGTAAGACAGGAAATACTGGAAAAAAAACAAAAAAACAAGAGCAACGCAGATGCATAAGAGTATCCAGCAAAAGCAACATCAAAAATCCATTGTTTTTTGTTTTTTTCCTGGTGTGGAGGGATTTTCTCTGAGAAAAAACAGTAGATAGATAGTTCCTGAAGTTGAGTTGGTTACTGCGAGCCCTCTTCGTCAACGTATGTCGAAGGGAACCAGCCGATCTGAAAGACATAAGGACCACACAATGATATTAGTCCATAACATTCACATTTATCAAAGCTGAACCAGGATATGGTGTATTATCAAATCATAGACAAATAAAAAAATATCAGAACTGCTTTCAGCCTTTGAAAGAGACGGATGCAAAAATATGTTATGGAGGTTATGGAGACGGTCCTTTTTTTTAATAGATTGTATATTTCCGACCATGGGACATTGTACCATTATGTACAGTAAGTAATTTTCCACAATAATACATTTAAAACAGTCCCTCCCCTTGTCATAACTACGACCAGTAAGATTTGCTGGAGGATAATAGTGAAACTAATGATTTTGTGCCTCGAGGATTTCAATACAGTTCAACCAATCAGAAAGCTGCGGGGGGTGAGGATGAGTGGGTCTAACCAGAGTTTGGCTTCAAAAGATTTCCCTCATTCTGCACAAGTGACAATTTTTCAACATTGTTCCATTCAGCAAAAACAACTCTGAGTGAATTTATTGTGATACAAATAAAGTCAAGTTTATTTTTTATCTCAAACATCAATGCTATACAAAGAAACTCCAAGGGCTAGACAAAAAAAAAAATTGAGACAAAGTAAAAATCCTTAGATGCAAAAGAAACCGAGGACGGCTCAGAAACACCTGGAGGCAGACACCAAGAGGATGGGATACACATGGAGGCAGCTGGAGCAGAAAGCCCAAGATCTAGACCTGGGGTGTCAAACTCTTCTTGGTCAAGGGCTGATTAAAAAAATAGGAACTGGTCAGGGGCCAAAACAATAGAAGAGATTTCCTTTTCTTATCCTAGTTTTTTACATTATGAAGATATTTTAACATGACTTTAATGTGACAAGAGTTTCACTGTTTTTCTCTGGTTTATTTTTCTGAAAACAAAATGTGTTTATTTAGATTGAACCAAAACTAAATCAAATATAAAGTAAACACATTTTATATTGAACTACTTAACTTCTAATTATGTGTTTTTGGGTTAAAATGTAAGAATACATTAAATTTGGTTTTCCTGAGAAAATAGATTATGTATAAAATGCCTTGGTCGCCCATTACCATCAATGCTGCTAGTTAATAATAAAAAAAAAATTATCAGGGGCCACTAAATATTGTCTGCGGGCCGGATCTGGCCCCCGGGCCTTGACTTTGACACCCATGATAGACGCTTGAAGATCTCTTGTCGACGGCCTATGCTTCTGGGAGGGGACCTATGCGCAAGTACAGTAAATAAATAAAATGTATTTCGGTCTATGTCACATATTTTACCTGTAGATCAACATTTTCAGGAAAAAAGAGAATATGAGGCGACCACCCTTACTCAGTCAATCAACTCTCAGCCCAAAGAGTCAAATAGTCAAAAGAGAGGGCTCTTTCTTAAAGATGTAGTCAGTGGTTTTTTCCAGACACATTTTTTTAAATATTGTGGAAAAACAATAAAGTAAACCCTAAAGTAGTCAAGTTATCATGTGTTTTCAAATATTAATGAAATTGACCAGATTCCTATAGTCTCCATAAAATAATAAATATGTTGGAGCGGACCGATAAAAATAAACCAATGGGATGCGTTTACCCTCCTTCACCCTCTTCCTGTTTCTCGCGAGTGCACCTGAGTTATAGGATTTTTAAAACCTAAAAGAGCTGAACAGAAAATGCCAATTTCACGTTTTCCACCCACTCTCCCTGTTGTGACAAAGAAAATAAAATGCTGGACGTTTGGTTTGGTGGAGAGGCGAGAGGAGGGGGGAGTGGTTTGGAGTTGGTGCTACGGCTACGCTAACAAAATCGCTTACTGCACCTTTAAACGTGTATGCAAAAGATAACGTGTTTTCTTTTTCTTTCTGTCAGAACAAATAAATTCATGACTATGAATGTATTATTTGTGCGTTAAAAAGTTATTTTTTTCAAAGTCAGGACAGTTGAACTTGTAACTTTAATTATTGCTGGCTTCACATGTGGTATTTCAGCAATTTACAACTTGCACAATTTTCAAGAACTCCTGGTATTTCTCCACAAACTCCCACTCAATTTGACGAGCAAGAATGAAGTCTCCCCTGAGTTTCCTTTTAACATTTTCAGAGTGAAATTGCGTCATCCGTCCAGTGGAGTTGGTAATTGTTGGATGGATGGAGAGTCTGAAATTGGCTCTGGACCAGGTTTTTTATGCTTTGATGCTGTTTGGAGGTGGAATGCATTCAGTGCAGCCAAAAGAAAGTCAAAAAATCAAGACAAATATGACCTTTCTGTAGTCCAAAGTGATCTGGCTTCATCAACCGGATACATTTGAGTTTACAAGACATTAACAAATAAGGAAAACAAAGCACTTCAAATCTATTCACATTATTTTTGATTTAACAAGTCACCTCTTTACAGATCAGACCAGTCATTTTGGTTTTGTAGTGACAATTTAATAACTCAATTGATATTCTGAATTAATTTTTCAAAATTCCATTAAATTGAATGGGAGCCCTGTCGAAAAGGAATGCCCTGTTAAATACACTGCAGATAATGGACACTTCTTTGCCTTGGATCAGTATTGAAAATTGCCATAAAAACGTAAATTCTAAGTTTCTCGTATACATCGCATCTGACCAAAATTGTTCAGCTCTATTTCTGACAGATTCATGACAGTGCGAATCTGCAGAACGTGGAATAGCTTGAAAACAGCTGTCAGAAACGATGTCTTCTCAAAGTACACCGGCGACGACAAGAGGAGATGTTTTATTTCAGTCTGGTTTTGTGATGAAGTCTTGTCTAATGTGACGTCTGACAGTCAGGTCTACTGTGAAGCTCCGTCACTGAGGTTTTTATGCCGGAATCAAAGCACAAGCAGGTCAGAGCTCACGTCGGCTTTGACAATGAACAACACGACTGAAGACTTGGGAGGGAATAAGAAATAATTTGAAATGTCAGCTGTAAATTTAGAACATCGGGCGTTAACCATTGGACAATTATTTTGTTTCATTACAGGTCATACATGTAAGTGGTCATGGTGTCATAAACGGAGGACCAGTATTCAAGGTTCAAGAATCAACTTTCTTGTTTCTTTTATTCTCTGACTTTTATTACACCACGTGAGTTGTATGGTCCTCTGTATTTATTTTATAAAATGTCTTATTTTAATTTTTTATGGATAACTGGTATTTTATTTTTTCTATTTTGTTGTTTTCACATACATCATAATGTTTTACTTATACTATTCTTATACATATAGAGCTGGCAAGCCTGTACGTGTTACTTTAGTCTCTGTGCAGAACTTTGGAAACTTGTTTTATAAAATGGGCAAAATGAATAAAGTAGATTGGATTGGATTGGAAGTATACCAAATAGTATTGCACAGTCCCGTCCCATCACAGTACTAACCACGCCCCGCCCTGCTGAGCTTCAGAGGTCTGATGGGATCTGGCTTTCAAATGCAGATATGGCCAATGGAAAAGATTTGTACCAATACAGAACCAGTTTGGGAAGAAAAGTTGAAAATATATCTATACCCAATGTTCTATAATATCTAAATTACAAGTTGCAAAGCATGTTTTTTGAATTTGATTAGGGTTTTAAAAAAATAACTCGTCATACTGTACTGATTTTGAAATGTATCATGTGATCAGGAAAGGCGACGTGTTTGTGCCAATTTGTGCCAGAATAGGTTCCTGGCTGGGAGCTGATTGGCTGAGTGGGGGTGGTCCAAAAAAGCTGTGTGACAGAAGCCAAAAATATATGAATGTGAAAACTAGTGTTAAAACCACAATGTTTGAGAATTTCATAGTTTCTTTTTTGTAGATTAAAAGTTCAACCTATAATAATATGTTTTTTTCTCCCCTGTGTGTTCCCCCCGTGCCCCGCCAGCCTAGACACGAACGAACTTTCAGGAATGTAGTTCCAGATTTTAGCTTTATAAATCTGCGACGCTGCCTCCTCATGTTTAGTCCTGACTCTGAGCACCAGCAGGAGGTGAATTCCTGTTCTCCTCAGAGTCCAAGTTGGTTCATACGGCACCAACACGTCACTTGGTGCGATGTCATTGAGACTTTTACAAAAGCAGGTCCAACTAACGTGATTGTACTTCCTGGTTCTAGTCAGGACTCGAGCTGAAGCCTTTTTGACATACCACATTAAAGGAGCAGTATGTAGAAAATCTGGTCAAAAGTAGTACTGCACTCTCCCTGACTCAGGTTGCCAGATATGCAGACAAATTCAGCTGGGACCATAATATCTGAATAAAGAGTCTTGTCAACAACAGATCTATAACCAACACCTTTTTCACAAAGACACATAGAAATCCCGGTTTCATTCCTTGTTTTGTCAATAAGGATTTGAGAATCATAACAAGACCTTTTTTAGTTCTCCGGCCACATGTTAATTGAGTTCTGGCAACCCGGATCACGGACTTTCTGATTGGTAAAACGGTGGAGGGCAGGGCATCAAAATTAAAACAATAACAAGATTTAGCGGCTTTAAAAATAATTTTGACATCCAAATATCTCTGCTGGACTACTTTTATCAGTTAAAGAAGTATTCAAAAAGAGCATGGTTTATTAAGGCCTTTTGACAGATTAGGGCCATTTAATGATGACAAGAAAATATTGCATATTGCTACTCTAAGATATTAATAATACTCCATGCAATACCATTGTGTACCTGTGGGGGGCCGCGTGCGTTGACAAATGCCAACAACAAGAATAGATGAGTGCATTTCTTACCCGCCCGTTGGCCTCTCCTTTCCACCAGCCCTGGTCTCCTCCAATCTTGCTGTAGATTTTGACCACGTCTCCTTCCCGCAGTGACAGCTCCCGCATGTCCCGGGCTGCAAAGTTATACCTGGCAACCGCCGTGCTCACCACCCTGGGAGTAAAGACTGCAACGAGACGCCACATATAGGGGGGAAACTCAATTTGGATTTCACAATATACAATACAATATACACACAATACAAGTCTCGGCTAACGCAATGTTCTTTTCAAAACTCGTTAATTACCCGTCTGGCTTCGCTCGGAAGCTTAGACGGACGTGAGACAATAGTCATAATGAGTTGCCTTGTACGAGTCACAACATGGCCGACAAATGATGGGAAGAGGACGAGAGCGGTGTTCGACTGGTGCGAGAGGAGAAATTGCCTTTTTTTCTTGATTTAATGAGTGAATGTCTTCCTGGGAAATGTTCTGGTAATTGGGACTTACTCTGCGGTGTGTGTAAAAACGTAATGAGGTTGCAATCGCAGAAGATGATTATGAAATTACAAGGAAACGGATGCAGGGAGGAGCGAGGGAGACGGGAAATAGAAAAGTTTAGGAGGGTTATTGTAAGACTTTGCGGCAAGTAGAAACAATGTTATTGAAATAATTTATGTGTAGTAAGTGGAGTGTCTGTGTGTGGAAAGGGAGTCATGCTTTTGAGGAATATTCTGAACATAGAAAATAAGTTTAAGTAATGAGTAATAACAAGTTGGCCACGAGTTTCACAAAATCTAAATAAAATGATTGATTTATTTTAGGGTCTGCTTGTGACTTTTGTATATTCAAATATAGTTTTTTCTGTAATTCTCGACTACATGAAATAAAAAATAAAATAATCTAAAGTATATTAATTAGCTATTACAAGCCAGACCACAACATGCTGTCTAAATCTTATTAGAAAACCTGTTATATTTTGAATACTTGTAAAAAAGAGCCTTGTGAGTCTGGCTGAGAGCTGATTGGTTGAGGGAGGGTGGTCCTCTCGTTTTTGCGTTCCTGTCTAAAGATGCCACCAAGGCCCAATCTAATATAAGGCTTGTAGTCATGGAAAATAACTGCTGAAAAACTAATTATTCCAACATCAAAGAACCAATTAAAAGCCTTGCAAGCCTGAGATCTATTACTGTCATTTTAATGCACCATGGATGATGTCTTATTGATTATACTATGTGTAAGACCAGCAACTACCAGGAAATGAACTGAAGAGGGCAAATTGAAACTGTAAGGATGCATGAATGGGTAAATTGTTGAAAAAAAAATTCCGATTTGATGTATATGGTATCAATTGACATGAAGCTTGAATGAAGCTTCCTGGGAGTTTCCTTTTGAAAGAACTTTCAAATCATCAAAATGTGTACTGTGTATGTACTTGTACTTCTGAATGTCTTTAAATAAATATAAATGGGTAGAATCAAACTGTTTCCAGAACCAGGAACTAATTATTTCAATACATAGTTGTGGTTTTGAAGTTAAGTATTGCAGCTTTAATTAACTACAAAATTCCAATTAGATTTAATAATAGAGGTATTTTTTACAGCTATTGTAAGACTTATGCATGGATGGATGAGTGGATTTTCCTTTTTCATATTCAAAATGAGCGGAGAGGTGCGATACCTGACCAGAAGGGGGCAGCGGTCGGAGAGGAGGAGAAGTTGAGACCTTGTGGACTGAGGAAGGAGAAGTTGTAGGAGGCGCAGGTGGCGGCTGGCGAGCGGCATACAACGGAAACCACAGAGAAACAGAAAACAAGGAAGCGGTAAAGCAGAGCAGGCGTGCAGAGCAGAGCCAAGCGGATCACATAAGCAGAGCACAGTGGAAGTCAGTTTTGTTGGGTAGAAAAGAGGGAGGAGCCATGAGAAAAGGGGGAGGGGCAGATTTGCATGTACGTAGAGTTAAAACAGGTAGCGTGTCTGGGTCAATGGCTGCGCGTCCCGGCTCAAAAGGGGCCAAGACATGCTCGCGATCTGACTTCTTGCCGGTGGGGGTGTACCCGGACACAGAATTATCCAACACATTCGAATGCAGGGTTGCCCGTGGCTATTTTGAATCTGCCTATTTCTGTGGCACATACATTTCAACAAAGGTACTATTCAGAGTCTATGGTCTGGGGTAAGGCTGTCTAGAAATCTAAAATACATCATTGTGGCTTCCCTTTTGCCATGTTTGAATTTATCGTGTAAATAATCAAAACGCTTCTTATCTAGGAACCAATTCACCCAAACCAGTGAATGCAGACACAGGGGTTAAGTGTCTTGCCCAAAGACACTCAGCAGCAATCACCATGCCGGTTTCAGACAAAGATGTTTATGTCATGAGCAAGATTCGAACCGGCAAACCTTGGTGGTCTGTATCTTGTTCTCTGAAATCGAGTTTGTACAGGTTTTGAAATATCTCGTTTGAAGAGATAGTAAGTTTTGGGACCCAACCGTTGGCATGGCTTCTTGGCAAGTGTCCATAGAATGTCTATGGTCATTACCTGGTGATCTGGTGCTTCCTCGAGTGAGCGACCTCTCTCTCGACTTGTACGGATACCTCAGCGTCGTGTCCAGCAGCTTGAAGCTCTCCTTTAGCGAGTGGGCCTGGTAGTACTCCACTAGTTCCTGTAGATTTTGGCAAGGGGTGTATTAAGACACTGTATCGCAAATTTTCATTCAAGGTTGACCCATGATGGAAATATTTCAATAGTGGTCATAGGAGAGACCAGGGAAGAAAAGCAGCCAGGGTACATAGTAGATTTATAGATCTTTAAAACAGATCCTCTGTTTTAAGGCTGGACTAAACACAGAATCAATCTCAGACCATCTCAAAACCAGCTCTACAAGACTAAAGGGTGGTTGAAACTCCTGCAGGCTTCTCAACTCCCTTGGCCCTGAATGAATTATCTTGGCCCCCGGGATGATATTTGATTTGCCTTAGAAGCGGCCCGCACATAGCCATAAGAAAATATTGGAATATTCAGTTAATGTTCACTACATGTGTTTTCTCTTTGTGGGATGTTTGTTTTTGTCTGCGAGCCTGTTGAAATTTCGTTTTACTTGAAACTACTGACAGAGCCATACAAAAAATATTGGAATAATCATTAAATAAAATATGGTACACTGTGTTAGGTCTTGGTTCAAAAGGATATATGCAATCATTTGATTAAATAACCATTGAACCAGTCCGGCCCTCGGCTTGTAGCAAATTTGTTTTTCTGGCCCTGTGACGGAGTTGACTTTGACATCCCTGTATCTAGACCTTAAAAGTATTGGAAAAAAACATTGTGGTGCAATAAAAAGCACCATGTTGTGTAATTATGTACGTAACAAATACAGCTTTTTGTCCACAATTTGTTTAGTTAAAATCATCACTGTGGAAGAGAAATTGTGTTGTCTTGAGTATTTGTATTAGTATCAAAATAGAGTTGTTTTTCTTTTTGTATCATGACAGCACTAATCCTTATTGGAACAGCTCAATCCGTCTACTTTCTGCATCTGTCCTCACCAATAAGCTCTCAAACTTCTTGGCTTCTGTGATGTGGATCCAGCTGTCCTTTTCGATCACTTTAATATGTTTGACTTCATCATTGAACCTGCGAGAGGGAAAAAACAAAACAAAAGACAAAATCACTTTTCAGGATAAAATATGTGTTGTTTGAGGTGAGTCTGACACAAGCTGTTCCTCAGTAATGGGCTCGAAGTTTATTTTTGTATAGCCCTAAATCACAACAGCAGTCGTCTCGAAGGACTTTACAAAGAGAATGAAGCAATCTCAACATAGCAATCTCCTCGTATTCTATATACTAGTCGATTAAGATCAAGTTCTGTTCAGTCAAGTACATCAGGGCGGAAAATGTGTGCAGAAAAGAAAGAATTGACGACTTTTATGCACTCCAGTCAGCAGAAAAAGCTTCTGCAAAACACCCAAGACGTCCCTTCTTTGTAAGACTGCTTGAACTTCCATTTCTATGTAATTCAAAACAGCACAAGGCCACTTTACTTCTTCCATCTGGTAACAGCGACAATAATTAGAATGTTTTCAACTTTGATCTGGGTTTTCACATGTAATATTTTCGAGACATGATGGACCAGCAATTTACGCCATGGCAGACACAAGCCCTTACTGCTAATTTACACATCACGCGTTACAGCACGTACGCGTTATACGCGCAGCAGACGCGCGTAACTTTTTTCCATGTTAACCTATGATGATATTTACACTTCTAGCGTTATATGCGCGTATGACGGACATGTGACGCGAAGCTGCGCTCTAATTTAGGATGGATTTCTAATTTTGTGCGCGCACCAACGCGTCTCCCATTGAAATCTCATGTAAAACTTTATTTTTCTAGCGGTCCTTGGCTTTAGATCACATCTGCACGCACACTGCACTTGTATCTAAACATCAGCAGGAGGAGCAGCAGGTTTTGCAGTGATTCTGGACATCGTTTTTTTTCTTTCATAAAGTCTCGCGTCTGGCCAAACCAGCGCACAGAGACCATGAAGACAAACACATGCATGTGATTTGTGTTGCTCTACATCAGTCCTCTGGCTCGTACTGTCCTCTACACTGCTCCATAGACTACACAGGGAGAGCATCAGAAGCCGCGGACCTGCGCGCACGGTCAGTGTAGATACTCCAAAAAAATGTTACGCGCAGAGAGCGCGCAGTAAACGCGTACGCGCTGTTTACGCCTACTGTGTAAATCCCCCGTTAGTGTGTCAAGCTCATGAGATACGTTTATTTTTTAATGAAAGTGGATGGGAACCAAAATGAGTTGAAGCAAAACTTGTTCATTGGTTTTGTTCATAATGTTATAATTTAAATTCAGTTGTAGGGCAGATACAAAGAATACTATAGGGGAAAAATTGGGAGGCGAAAAAAAAAGGAACAAATGTGGCTATTTTTGACTGAAATATTCAAAAAGAAAATGTACAAATGTTGTCTTGATCCCAAAGCAGCCATATTATTCTTAAGTCCTTTCTACTGGCCGACATCCTGCATATGTTTTTGGAATATTGACACCGCTTTTAGACACATTTTTGAGAAAATAGTTGGAGGATAGTGTCTGACAAAACATGATGTCAAAGAAGATGTGGAACTTTGTGACAGAGTTTGATTCATATGAGGGTGGACCCAGGAATTAGAGGAATTAGCTCCAAACTAAGAATCATTTTGACCATATAGTTACTTGAAGAAATTCTGCAGCTCCCCTTCTCCACAGTTTTAAAGTATAGGCTCTTTAGAACGCTATGATGTCAAATGCTAAACAAATGCCGAACTTCTGAGATCATTTCTGAGACTCTGCCCATAGCCTCAAACATACGTCCCTTTGCACCAACAAAGCTGTTGGTCTGTTTGACGAGGAGGACAGTGGTGATGACCCAGGACCCTCAACTCCACATTCAACAACATTTATGGACATTTATCATCATTTATGGACATTGGTCGTCTACCCCATATGGACCTATCGCTCTATGTGGTTTAATCATTGCGTTTCTTGTGTTGATTTGTTGATAATCTGATCTGTGTTTGTGAATTCAACCGTTTTATCAAGTCCTCCGAGATGACTATGGTTGTGATTTAGGGCTGTACAAGTATGACATTTAAATTGAAGACATATTTCCGTGTTTTTCTCACTTGATGCTGATGGCGTATCTCTCCGCCTCGGCCGTCCTCTCGCGGATCAGGTACGTTCCGCTGCAGTGGGATTTGAGGAGGTTGTCAGCCTGCTGTCTCTCCATGTTCCCCGCAAACCTGCACCACACGATACAAGCGGCAAAATCACCTTCCGATAAAGTCAAACACTAATGAGGCTTTGGACGCTCCACACGTGCCGGTCATAAATCTTAGCGAAAAAGGGTCAAAACAATGCATTGAGTGAACAAAGCTGAGGCATTAGCGAGAAGTGTGAGGCAAAGGGAAGGTTGGAGTGGTATTGAAGAGGAGAGGTGCAGTGAGGAAATACTGTAATACTTTATTGTATCTCTGCACAGTACATCTAAACAAGATAAAAGCAAATTTCAAGTACTATAATAGACATACTTTTCTTTCTCGTCCTTTTCACTCTTTTTTCCTTTCCTCTCCCCACCTCTGTCCTCCCTCATTGTCTCCCCTTTTCTGCACTTGTCTCTTCTCTACGCTTCTTTTATCCTTTTTACTTGTTTATTTTCTCTTTCTCTTATTGTGTACCCGTGTGAAATGCTGTGTATCTAGTCATTTTTGTCTTTTTGAGAAGTAAAAAAAAAAAGCTTATATTTGTATTTGACCCGGTGTGTTCATTTTAGGATTTTTTAAGTCAGTTCAACTTGTATAGTTTAGAGCAGCAGGTTTAGTAAAACGACTTGAGTAGGGATTTCAGTCGTCGGAGTAATGAAAACTTCATTTAAGACGTTAATACTTATTATACATTTGAGTGGAGTTACGCATTATCAGCATTAGATAGCTATTTGGCCTTCGTGCAGGACAGGTACAAGACTATACGCAGACTCTGATTGTGTATCCATGTTATGACTATGATATGCTCTGAGCGTCTCTGATGTGACACGTATGTCTTTCGATGTGTGACGTAGCAATGACTATATAAATCATGACTCCATTTTGTCTGGGAGAGAGAAAAAAACAACACAAACCACTGGAACCTGAGAGAAACCTAATAAACTTCCAGAGCTTGGCGCACCACGATCCGTCTCTGTCTGGTTCATTCCTGACAGCATTACCAAATGGTCGTGGTAAAGTAAATGCAATGAGTACTGATACTCAAATAATGTAAGTTTTGATAACTTAAACTTGATAATTTTGCAATTTGCCACTTTTATTGTACATAGTATATCCTGCATTTAACATGTTTGCACATGTCTTTCTTTTTGCACAATCTTGAGTGTTTTTATCCATGCCAGATGTGACATGTAAATTTCTCCTGTGTGAGATCAATAAAGTCTTTATCTTATCTTATAAGTATTGTGCAGTTGTTACAAATAATCATGTGTACTTGTATAGGCTAAGCTGCTTAACTCGAATTGTTTAAAGCAGCAGGTTTAGGCATTTTTTTTGAGTGGATTTCTTATGAGGTTTTAAATATAATAATAATAATAATATAAATAATAATGTAGATGTAATACAGTATATAAAGTTGCCCAAGACTACACACTTTCTATCACAAACAAAGTACCCTGACCTTGAAAAAAGCCCCTTACAATTGCATCAAATATCCACTATAGATAATTGTGTTGTGCTGAGGTATTTCTACTTATTTTGTCAAAATGTATATACTGTATTTGATGTTTGACATGTTGCAGCAGATAATTGTATTCATCTTCACACACTCAAAAGCACATCGGGAAAGTATTTGTCTGACAGCTGAGGTTTGAGTCAAATACAGAAGAAATTGTCAAAAAGGCAAACAGCACCTCCGCGTCTGCGTTGCCATTTATGACATTTTTAACGTTCTTTTGTTGAAAGTATTCTGAAATTCGGCTCGTGCAAAGTGCTGTCTGTGAAACCTTGCAGCTCTGGGCCTGAGCTCCACGGAGGGACTTCCTCAGAGTTTTCTTTCTTGCAAGAACAAGTAGCTTTTTGTTCCTTTTTGTACTCCTGCAGCCATTGAGCCCGACAAAACTGGTCAAAATCTAACATCTGTGCGAGAGAGCTCCATCCATCTCTCAGTTTACCCATTCGCTGATATATCCTGTTTTTAAATTTTGGTTTTAGAGAATTGTTAGTTACCTATTGAAACTGTAGTTCTACGAATAGTGCGTAGCCCCTTAGGCTCGCTTTGGGTATGACTCCAGAAGCACCAGCTTCCCGCCAGAGAGAACTCAATGCTCCAATCACTGTGCAGAACCTCCTATAAATAGCCCACAGCAGTCCATGCTCTTCACTTTGAACTCGCCAAAGCCAGGTTGGACTGATGGGCCCGTAGCTAAGGGGCTACGCACTATTCGTAGAACTACAGTTACAATAGGTAACTAACAATTCTACTTCATAGTGCTATGCCCCTTAGGCTCGCTTTGGCTAACGAAGCGTAGCCTAAGAGTATGTACTCCCATCAGGCCAGCTAGCAGTGATTGGAGCCCTGCCGAGTAGGCCCTAACACCTCCAAGGTGTGGGAACTCAAGACAGACAGGGAATGAGCAGTGATGGGGCCGCTCCTATCAAGGACGCCCAAGGATAAGCTCAAAGGTGAAGCAGTGGTAGGGCCGCTCCTATCAAGGACGCCCGAAGCACTAACAGAATCCAAGAGGGAGGCCGTTCCAGGAACAGCCAAGTCTCTGACCAAACGCCCAAGGGCGAAGGTCACTTCCCAGGACGCCTCTATCAAGAGCTCCTGAGGAACACCGCGCGCGCCCCCGTAGGGGAACAAGGAACAGTCCCAGACCGCCTCTACCAAGAGCACCTGAGGACTGCACAAAGCCGCGAAGGAAGAAGGAGAAGGCTGAGCCCAGGACGCCTCTATCAAGAGCTCCAGGAGGGGCCGGCCGCTCCAGACAACATAGACCGCAGAAGCCTCAGAGAGAGCCAGACACGGTCGCATCAGTCCCAGAGCTCAGGATGGAGTGAGCAACAGACCGCTCTGAAACATCCACCAGGTAAGACAGAGCAAAGGTGGAAGACGAAGCCCAGGACGCAGCCTGGCATACCTCCTCCACCGAGGCCCCTCGTAGCAGAGCTGTGGAGGCCGCCACGCCCCGAGTGGAGTGCGCTCGGAACCCCACCGGGGGCACCATCCCCTGGGCCTGATACGCCGAGCGAATCGCCCGGGACACCCAGTGGGCCAGCCGCTGGGAGGATAACGGGGCGCCTCTGTTTTTAGGCCCCAAGCACACGAACAGCTGATCCGTGCGCCTGAAAGAGGACGTGACCTCCAGGTAATGCCTCAGCATCCTGATAGGGCACAACAGGTGTCTTTGCTCATCCTCCTGCGAGGCGTGAGGCGGAGGGTGAAAAGGTCTGATCCGTATGACCCTGGACCTGAAGGTTGAGGAAACGACCTTGGGGAGAAAGGCCGGGTTGGGCCACAACTCCACCAACCCATCCCCCGGACCAAAGGACAGGCAGGCCGGGCTGATGGAAAGAGCGCACAGTCTCCCGCCCTCTTGGTTGATACCAGAGCCAATAAGAGTGCGGTCTTGAAGGCCACGCATTCTGGGCTGGCACGGGTCAGGGGTTCGAAAGGAGGCCCTGACAGCCCTTTCAAAACCACCTTGAGGTCCCAGATCGGAGGTGTTCGTCTAAGGACCGGCCTCTTCCTGTAGGCCCCCCGAAGGAAGCGTTTGATTAACGGGTGGGAGCGGGCTGAAAACCCCCCGAACCCTTCGTGACCAGAGGCAATGGCCGAAGCGGACACAGCCAAGGTACTAGCGGCCCTGCCCTTATCCAAAAGGTCCTGCAGGAATCCCAGGATGCCCTCTAGAGGGCAAGACCTGGGGTCCCACGAGTGGGCCGCGCACCAGTCTTTGAAAAGCTTCCACCGGCACCCGTAAGCCCTCACGGTGGAAGGTGCCCTCGCCCCTTGGATGGTATCCACCACCGCCCGGGGGAGGCCTAGTCGGACTAGGTTCTGCCTCTCAGCTTCCAAACCCAGAGCCTGTGGCCCAGGACTGGGCGGGAGCGAAGCGTCCCCCCTCCCTGGACCAGGCCCCCTGGCACGTCCGGGAGAGGCCACGGGTCCATCACAGACATGTTGGTCAGGAACGGGAACCAACGGGCCTGTGGTCGGTCTGGGGCGACCAGGATTACCTCCCGCTCTTCCTGCTCGATCCTCCTCAGTAGGATCAGTAGGAGACGAGGGGGGGGGAAGGCGTACAACAGGCCCCCTGGCCACGGATAATGAGCCAAGGCATCCACCCCTAGAGGCGGATTGTCCGTGGGTCTCAGTGCGAACCAGAGCGGGCATTGCGCGTTGTCTGCACTGGCGAACAGGTCGACCACAGGCCGACCAAACCTCTGCCAGACCTCCGCTGCCATCTGCGGGTCGAGGCCCCACTCGTCCTCGAGAGGGCCTCCCCGTGACATTATGTCCGCCCCTGTGTTCCTGTCTCCCGGAACATGACGCGCTCTCAGAGACTGCAGATGCCCTGCAGCCCAGATCAGAATGGTCGCTGCCAGTCGGTGGAGGGCTGGGGACCTCGTGCCCCCCTGCCGGTTCAGATACGCCACCACTGTGGTGTTGTCTGAGACCATCACGTGTCTCCCCGCTAGTTGTGGAGCGAAATGCAGAAGCACCCTGTGAACCGCCTCCATCTCCAGCAGATTGATGTGACGAAGAGGGCCTGACCAGGCGCCCCCCACAGAGCTCTGGTGCAGAACCCCCCCCCATCCCTCCAGAGACGCGTCCGTGAACACCTCCACGTGTGCCACGGCACCTACCAGGGGAACTCCTTCCAGCATCAGACCGGGCGTGAGCCAGTAGCTCAGGTCCTCGGCCACTCCTGGAGGAACAATGAGCCTTCTGCCCCCGTCTCTTGTGGGATGTAGTCGGAGACGGGAGAACCACCTCTGGAAACGTCTCAAGTGAAGGAGACCTAGCCGCACCACTGCATGAGCTGATGCCATCATCCCCAATAGAGACCGTATTCGTCGGGCGGTCACTGTGGGAGAGGTCAGCGCTTCCTGAGCTAGACGCGTGATGCTCGAGCGTCTGTCCTGGGAGAGCGCTGCCCGAAACTCCACCGAGTCTAGCTGTAGACCTAGATAGACTAAGCGCTGTGCGGGTTGCAGATTGCTCTTTTCCCTGTTCACCACAAAGCCTAGGCGCTGCACGTGTGACAGGACCCAGTGCGTGTGAATGGTGGCCTGCTCCAGAGACGGGGCCAGAATCAGCCAGTCGTCTATATATGTCAGGATTCTGATCCCTGCGCGTCTGAGTGGTTCCAGCGCCGCCTCCACGCACTTGGAGAAGGTGCGTGGGGCCAGAGCGTAACCGAAGGGGAGGCGACAGTACTCGTAACACTTCCCTCCCACGGTGAAGCGCAGGAAGCGTCTGTGCTCCGGTACTATGGCAACGTGGAAGTAAGCGTCCGTCAGGTCTATGGTTGACATCCAGTCCCCGGGCCTGACGCACTCTAACAGATGTTTTGTGGAAAGCATCCGAAAGGGCCGTTTGGAAATGCACTGGTTCAGAGTGCGCAGATCCAATATAGGGCGCACCCCCCCTGATTTCTTGGGGGGAAATTCCCTGGGGAATGAAGTGCTGGATTTACCCCGGAGACGCTGAGAAAGGGAGAGAGGCTCGCAAAACCTGGTCCTGACCCAGCAGACACTACACTGGCCACTGTGGGAAGTGGTATGGAGGGATGCGGCCGCTGTGGACTCAACGTAACCAAAGGTGAAAGACCTGTGTGTGATGCAATGCTGCCCTCTACCTGAGATGACAAACCATGCATGGCAAAAAGATGACGCTCAGACCGAGAATACGGTACACCTTGTCGTTTATTGAAAAACTTTTTCCCCCCCCGAACTCCCCGACTGTAGGGAGGGCGGCGGTGGGAGCGTTGGTCACGGAAACCACCGGAGTAAGGCTCTGAACCCCGTGGTCTCTGCGGAGTGTAGCGGCCCGGGCAAGGAGCAGGAGGGGGCGGAGCTGAGCGTCGCCGAGGTGACCGGTCTCTCACTCTCTCTCTGCCGCGATAAGGCTGCTGCTGTTGTTGCTGCTGCTGCTGCTGCTGCTGCTGCTGTGACACACGGCGAGGGAGCAGATGAGGAGCCAGCATGGCGGAGTCTTTGGCAGCAGCGTCCAGTCTCGCGACGAGCCCCTTCATGTCTGGACCGAAGAGGGAATCCATGGAGATAGGGAGGTCCAGGAGCTGCCTCTTCTCCGTCTCCTTGATGTCCGCGAGCCCCAGCCACAGATGGCGAGCACCGACCTGTGCGGACGCCATGGATCGCCCACCGTCAATAGCCAGCGCCTGGATCATACGGAGTATGGCCGCCGTGGTGGTTCTGGCCCGGTCCAGGTCCTCGTCGGTGAGAGCTTGACCCGTGGATAGAGACCTATCGAGGGCCCCGGTGAGAAGAGCCATATTGCTAGCTAACGCAACGACCTGTGCTGCGTTAGCGTAGCATCTATCCAGAACAGCCATGCTCATCCTATCCCGCTCCGAGGGAAGGAGAGGTCTGCTGCCGGGCCACACCGAGGACTGCGGGAGTAGTGCGAGCCGGACGGCGTCCTCCACTTCCGGGACCCCTTTGGACCAGGACCAGTCTTGGACCGAGCAATAGGCGCCGTACCCCAGAGCAGGCTTCTTAGCTGCTAGGGGTTTGGCCCAATCACGTGCCGCGTAATGGAAAACCGGATCCATCCGCGGACACAGTGTTGGAGCTCGTCTCTTCCTCCCTGGAAGCGATGAACCCACCGACGTGAAGTCGCTCTCTCTCTGGGTGGGTTGCGGAGGCAGGGGGGTCTCCATGGTGGCCGCTGCCATGGCGAAGAGGCGGGGCATGTGGTCCAGAGGGAAGCGGTCTTGTTCCTCGCACAAGGAAATAGCCTCGTCGAGAGTGACGTAGGAACCCCGGTCCTCGTCAAACTCTTCCTCCACAACACAGTCTCCCCACTCCCTGGGTGCAGGAGGCAGGTCGAGCGGGACATACTCAACCTCAGGTTCCTCCTCCTGGGAGGGACCCGGGCGAGCCTCCGCGGAGGTGGCATAAGCAGCGCGGCGCTCTCTCTCCTCCCCGGGGAGAGAAAGGCACGCCGCACACGTCGCCGCTTCCCGGTGGTGGTGAACTCCCAGGCAGAGGAAGCAGAACTCGTGCCGGTCTTTGCGGTGGAGCTTGGTCCGGCAGCCACCGCACCGTCTTCGTCCGACGCCGGATGGCGAAGGAGTTCTCGGACGAGGAGGAGTAGACATCGCGATCTTCAATGGTGAGTAGAACTTCTCTCAATGGCGCCAGAGTTCAAAGTGAAGAGCATGGACTGCTGTGGGCTATTTATAGGAGGTTCTGCACAGTGATTGGAGCATTGAGTTCTCTCTGGCGGGAAGCTGGTGCTTCTGGAGTCATACCCAAAGCGAGCCTAAGGGGCATAGCACTATGAAGTAGAACTGCAATTTCTTGTCTAGTTGTAGGGCTCCACCTGTATGTTTCTCATCACAATAAAACAAAAAAAACCTCTAGCCTAAAGGGTTATCATCCGTAACACACCATTCGGAGACTAGGAAATGTGCATAAGAGGTATTTAAAATCATCTGTCCATCTTCCTCCACTTGACCCGTTGCTGAGATTGTGGAGGGTGCAGTCTGAGCCCAAGACTAGGTGTCAAACGCAATGCCTGCAAGAAACTATTTGTGGCCCATAGAATGATATTCAATTATTGTGATAAATTTTCAGCAATGACGGTAAGAGAAACCCTGGCCTGTTATACCTCATTTTAAAGCTTGTTTTGTCAACCATATAAGTCAATCCATACTAAAATTTAATAAGTAATAATTTATGTCCAAATAGCTTCATAATGTAAACAAAAATGATAGTTAATAATAGTCGTTAATGCTAGTTGCTAAAGTTAAGCTATAAAAAACTTTTGGCCCTCAATCAAAATATGATTGACACTCCTGCTCTAGCTCAACCACATCTCACTTAAAACGCATATAATGTATACAAAGTAAAGTTACTGTAAGGATTTATTCGCCATTTAACTTTTGTTGTAGTAAAGTAGTGACTTACCACGGATACCCGTAGTATTCTCCTCCTTCCCTTGACGATGGTCGACAGAGAGTCTGAAAAGGCTGACACAAAGACTTCTGGTTAAAAATGTGAGAAGTAATGAGTGTTGTAGCAGCAGTAGTAGTAGTAGTGTAGTAGTAGTGGTGGTAGTGGTAGTGGTAGTAATAGTAGTTGTAGTAGTAGTAGAAGTAATAGTAGTAATAGTGGTAGTAGTAGTAGTAGTAGTAGCACTAGTAGTAGAAGCAGTAGTAGTAGCAGTAGTAGTAGTATCAATCAATCAATCAACGTTTATTTGTAGAGCGCCTTTCCTACACAAGGCAACGCAAAGCGCTTCACATCCCCTATCACATCATGCATAAATCAAACACATTAAGAGCACAAGATATATTAAAAACATTAAAAATAAAATCACAAAAATTAAAAACCTTTAAACATTAAAATCACAGATGGGACAGATAGATATCACAGATAGTAGTAGAAGTAATAGTAGCAGAAGTAGTAGTAGTAAAGTAGTAGTAGTACTAGTAGTAGTAGTAGAAGTATTAGTAGCAGCAGTAGTAATAGTAGTAGTAGTAGTAGTAGTAGCAGTAACAGTAGTAATAGTAGTAATAGTAGTAGTAGTAGTAGTAGTAGTAGCAGTAGTAGTAGCAGTAGTTGTAGTAGTAGTAGTAGTAGCAGTACATTTCTTGAAGCACTGTAGGCACATCCCTAAGCCCATTCAAAGGAGCTCAGTGAGTTTTTTTTAGCAGGTGAGGCCACTTTTAAAGAGGCCAAGTCCTGCAGTACCCGGGCCTCCCCCCGGGTCGCTCCCCTCCCCCTGGGTAACCTCCCCAGGAGCTCGCACCTGTAAGTCCACCTGCACAGGGAAGCGAGGCGGGATTCTCTGGCAATAAGACCAGGCCAGGGTCAACCGTGAGGCATAGCTTTTTTTCTCACTCTTTTTTTCTCACTCGATAACTCCGGGCTAAAAAAAAAAGTAGTAGCAGTAGCAGTAGTTGAAGTAGTAGTAGCAGTAGCAGTAGTAGTGGCAGTAGTTGCAGTAGTAGTAGTAGTAGCAGTAGTTGTAGTTGTAGTTGTAGTAGGAGTAGCAGTAGTAGTAGTAGTACCAGTAGTTGTAGTAGTAGCAGTAGTTGCAGTAGTAGTAGTAGCAGTAGCAGTAGCAGTAGTAGTAGTAGCAGTAGTAGTAGCAGTAGCAGTAGTAGTAGCAGTAGTTGCAGCAGTAGTAGCAGTAGTAGTAGTAGTAATAGCAGTAGCAGTAGTAGTAGTAGCAGTAGCAGTAGTTGCAGTAGTAGTAGTAGTAGTAGCAGTAGTAGTTGCAGTAGTAGTAGTAGTAGTAGCAGTAGTAGTAGTAGCAATAGTTGCAGTAGTAGTAGTAGTAGTAGTAGCAGTAGTAGAAGCAGTAGTAGTAGCAGTAGTTGCAGTAGTAGTAGCAGTAGTAGTAGTAGTAATAGCAGTAGCAGTAGTAGTAGTAGCAGTAGCAGTAGTTGCAGTAGTAGTAGTAGTAGTAGCAGTAGTAGTTGCAGTAGTAGTAGTAGTAGTAGCAGTAGTAGTAGTAGCAATAGTTGCAGTAGTAGTAGTAGTAGTAGCAGTAGTAGAAGCAGTAGTAGTAGTAGTAGTAGTAGTAGCAGTAGCAGTAGTAGTAGTAGCAGTAGCAGTAGCAGTAGTAGTAGTAGTAGTAGCAGTAGTAGTAGTAGTAGTAGTAGTAGTAGTAGCAGTAGTAGTAGTTGTAGTAGTAGTAGTAGTAGTAGTAGCAGTAGCAGTAGCAGTAGTAGCGGTAGTAGCAGTAGCAGTAGTAGCAGTAGCAGTAGTAGCAGTAGTAGCAGTAGCAGTAGCAGTAGCAGTAGTAGCAGTAGTAGCAGTAGCAGTAGCAGTAGTAGCAGTAGTAGCAGTAGCAGTAGCAGTAGTAGCAGTAGTAGTAGCAGTAGTAGCAGTAGCAGTAGCAGTACCTTAGGATCCAAACATGGCTTGACACAGGAGCTGGGGAAGAAGCCGCTCTTCTGTGTCTGCATCAGCCTCCCCTGGAACACCACAGATTATACACATAACACAGAGAGAGTCTTTAAGGTGTTAAACCAAATGTTAAATTACAACACGTGTGGATATTAGACTGTACTATAGAATAAAAGAGTTGTGTTGATGTAAGTACTGCAAAATTTATTCCAAATATGGCAAATCAGAGTACTTAAGTCAGTAAGTATTATTGCATGTCCTATTTTTATAACACTGATAATGTCGAGGCACATTCCTAGTATTTGAATTTGTAATCTCTGACTATTTATGTATTCAATAAAATTAAATAGGTAATTGATTTAAAGTGAAAGAGTCATTTATTATGATTATTATTATTTATTTTGTCTTACTATATAATTTATGATATATGTTAACCTATCACAGGACCTTATTTGCATTAAATGTACAGATCATGTGAATAGAGAAGGAAAAGTGTGTAGTGCTATGTTATGTCATCAAAGCATTATCAGTGGTCTTCAACAGATCTACAACAGATATATTCCCTTGTCTGGGAGCCGATAGCAGAGTTTAACCTTATATTTCACCATATATTTTCAAACGTAAGATAATATTTCAATTTCTAAAACATGAATTGACAAAGTAAATAGTAAAGTTATCATATCTCATTCTCAAACAAAATGCATAATCATTCTTACAATAATTCTTGTTTAGACATTTTGACTTCTAATTTCTAACACATTGGCGAGCATATACTGGGGAAAAAGCCAGAGAAAAACACATTTGCAGCAGAAATAGAGAGAGCTCCAGTGATGTTGACAAAGAGACGGCACATGGCAGCGTATACTGGTTTGAACTGTACGTTATGTGACATTCGCTGTAAAAGCCTCATGTGCCTGTGATAATAATAACAATTCTTATGGAAATGTTGGAGGTATTAAGAAAGGCTTTCGGTCAGAGTGACACAGCAACATCCTCAAACCCAACAATCAAATAGAAAAATATACAGCTTTGAAAATATCAATAGTGCAGCTCGAGTCCTAACTATAGACCCAGGAAGTATGATCATATTAGTCCAGTTCTCAGGTCTCTGCAGCTCTGCTTGTGTGCAAGTATCTCTGTGGCTTCGCACCTAAGTACTGTACATCTTACAAGTACATGATAGCGCCATTTGAAACCAAGTCAGACTCTGAGGAGCACAGGGACTGGCCTCCTGCTGGGACTATGATGAGCTCAGGTACTGATCTCCTGCTGGGACTCTGTGGAGCACAGAGACAGGACTCCTGCTGGTGCCCAGAGTCAGGACTGAACATGAGGAAGCAGTGTTTCAGATTTATGCAGCTAAAAGTCTCCCCGAACTTGTAAAACAGGCCACGTCCTTGGCAATGTTTAGTCCATGTTAAAAATGTAGTCTTATTTAGCTGTGCATATGATGAAGCTTTTATCTTTAATATTTTCTATTATTTTTGTGTAGTTTTTAATACAACACATTTCACATGTATTTGCACTGTTTTGATATTGATTTTGGCTTGTGAAGCACTTTGCGTTATACTGTATGAATCCAAAGCAGGTCTAAACCAGCATCAACAAAATACTTTCTATGATCTTAATCCAGGAAAGATAGATATTCGTGCCTGAGTGTGTAAACTTTCACGTTTGTAAACTTTCAAGCACATCTGTATGCATATGGGTTCAGTGCAGTTTCTCTCCCTCACCTCCCACCAGGTGGTGTCGGGGTCCCCTTTCAGCAGCTCGATGTAGTCTCCGGTCTGGAAGCTCAGGTGGACCTTCCCTGGAGGAGCCGGAGCGCCGTGGTAGTTCCTGACCGCCACCATCTTTGGACCTGCAGAGAACTTGATTAAAACTACAGCTCTGGTCTGAGTCCTGGATCTATAGCCTGCCCGTCCTCTGAGGTTTCTCACTTTTTTTTTTTAATAATCCAAGACATTTATGGACATTTATTAATGGCGGGCGGCAGTAGCTCAGTTGGTAGAGCTTTGGCCTTTGAGCCAGAAGGTCGTGGGTTCAAGCCCCGCTCAAGACTTTCACCATCGACTCCCACTGACTACTGTCGTTGTGTCCTTGGCAAGACACTTAACCTCTGGGAACACCAGCCACAGTGGGGCGGCTGCGGCTGTAAAGTGCCAAGCTGCCGTTGTGTCCTTAGGCAAGACACTTCACCCCCATTGCCTAGAATGAGTCTGGTGTGTGTATGAATGGTTGGTGGTGGTCGGAGGGGCCGATGGCGCATACTGGTTGCCTCGCTTCTGTCAGTGTGCCCCAGGGCAGCTGTGGCTACAGCAGTAGTTTATCACCACCGTGTATGGAGTGAATGAATAATGACACATGTGAAGCGTCTTTGAGTGTCCAGAAAAGCGCTATATAAAACCGATGCATTATTATTATTATTATTATTAACGTTTAAGCACATTGGTATTGTATGAGCCGTATTGTATGTACATCTGAGCCGCTCCCTATGGACCAATGGCTCAGATGTGTTTGCTATGATTACATTTAAAACTTTGTCCTTCGAGATGACTGGTGATGTGATTTAAGGCTATACAAAAATAACATAAATGTAGGTCTCAATAGGAACAAACATGTGTAAAAGTGGTCTCAATAAACACTTTGAAACACATATATAATTCAAATTGTTATTATTTACCCAATACAATCAAAGCTATTATTGATAGACCATTTACTCATACATGTACTTAAAGTAGCTAAATAATGTGTACCTAGAGCAAGAAGAGATGTTGCTATTCAGTTCTGAAATAAATTGTAAGTACACAAACAAAAAATACAATAATAAGTGGAGACAACACAGACGACAACATCTTATTAAAAGTTATTATACAACGTGTTATCCTTTGCATGGGCTGAGAGGTGATTGGCTGGGAGAGAGTGGTCCTTTCTTTTTCACTGTTTGGTCTGAAAGAAGCTGATCTAAAGCTGCGACTGAGGGCAGAAAATACATGCATGTGAAAAACTAGTGACACAACTGTTTTTTGAGGAACACATTTTTTCATTTAAGTTTTTTTGCCGTCTGAAATTAAATATCCTAGTTTGAATATGCGAAAACAAAAGCGATTGTGTAAAATAATGAGACGAACCAGTACATAGACAGAGGTTATATTGCAGTCTGCTGAGGGGAAGAGTGAATACACTAAATATCCACTAGATGGCGGTAAATGACCATGATAGCAATTGGAAGCAGATAGCGGTTTCAAAATGCAACAAGTAAACCAGGTCAAAACCGGGACAAAAAACAGGACTAAAACAGGACTAAACCAAGACTAAACTCTGTCTAAACCAGGGCTAAACCAGGGCCAAACTAGGTCTACACTTGGTCTAAACTTTGTCTAAACCAGGTGTAAAACAGGACTAAACCAAGACTAAACTGTCTAAACCAGGGCTAAGCCAGGTCTACACTTGGTCTACACTTGGTCTAAACTTTGTCTAAACCAGGTATAAAACAGGACTAAACTCTGTCTAAACCAGGGCTAATCCAGGGCTAATCCAGGGCTAAACCAGGGCTAAACTAGGTCTAAACCAGGTATAAAACAGGACTAAAACAGGACAAAACCAAGCCTAAACTCTGTCTAAACCAGGTCTAAGCCAGGTCTACACTTGGTCTACACTTTGTCTAAACCAGGTATAAAACAGGACTAAACCAAGACTAAACTCTGTCTAAACCAGGGCTAATCCAGGGCTAATCCAGGGCTAAACTAGATCTAAACTAGGTCTAAACTGTCTAAACCAGGTATAAAACAGTTCTAAACCAGTTCTAATTCATTCGAGCCAGATCTAAAAAAGGTAAAAATCAAGTCTTAAACCAGATCTAAAAGAATATATAACATATGATAATAATCCTGGATAGAACCTGGTCCAAATAATTCTTTAGAAGATGCAAAACTAGTTATGGTCTGACCAAGAGCTACAGTAAGAGAAGACGCTCTCACCTGACGCCATCCCAGGCTCCTGAGGAAAAAAAATACAAAAAGTGTAGATTAGAATTGTCTCTTCAAGCTGTTAGAATAATAAAATGCTTGCTTTACTCACCAAGTCAAGAGGATCTGCAAGAACAGAACAAAACATACACAGTGATGAGTGAAAAATACATGCATTTAGAAGATTCATTCCGACATTTCCAAATCTAAAATGTCATATCTTTGATATTAATCGAACTAATATTTCAGCAACATCAGCAGTGTCCACATAGGAACTGAGAAAGAGAGAGAAAGAGATAAATATAGAGAGAGAAAGAGAGAGAGACATAGAGATTGACATAACAATATATAGATAGATGTATACAACTACAGCAGGATTCACGTTCACATTTTTAACAGTTAATGCTGATGTGGACATGGGGCTTGAAACTCACTGATTTTGCAGATGGTGATGACCTCCAAACACTCCTTGTGGGCTCCGGTCCCACAGCGGGAGCAGAAGTATCCCTGGTAGAAAATCCCTCTGCAACGACAAACACAGAACTGTCATTTAGATTTCAGACGGATTTTCAACTTTCACTTTTAAGGGAACCTGCCCAAAATGTTCAAAGTTATATGTTGTCATATAGTAGGGCTAACTTTAGTTTTAGGACAATAGTTTGGTCACACGGGAGGAGCTCGGAGTAGAGCCACTGCTTCTCCACGTTGTAAGGAGAGGGTTCAGGAGGCTTTGGCGTCTGTTTTGGATGCCTCCCGGAAGTCAGGTATGTCCCACCAGGAATAGGCCCCTAGGGAAGACCCAGGTCACGCTGGAGGGACTATGTTTCCCAGGTCAGCAACGGATAAAGCGGATAAATGAATGGACAGTTGTTTCTTACAGGAACGACAGCAATTGGTCAATTAGAGGAGGAAAAAATGCTTCAGTATATTCAGTCCTTTCACCTGTATCAGCCTATTTTTTTTTATTTTGAGTTAAAACATTTTGATCACCACGGTTATCAAATACATTACATTTTTTGTGCATATCTTTGTGACAAAATGGATTCCCTGAAAAGCTTTGTAAAGCATGGGGGGAATGGGGACCAGCATTGCATAAAGAAAAGTTATACAAAGGTGACAACAGAGGAAGTTTAGATGTGACATAACAGTAAAACTTATTTTAAGTTAAAATAAATGCAGTACAAAACTTCCTGCTTACATCCACACACAGAAAAATTATATATTTTAACTTGATTGCTTTGATGATGATGATGGCTATGACTGTGTATGGCTGTCTTATAACTACATTGAATATTATACTTGTATGATTTATGAAAAAAACATCTAATTTGCTATAAAATTATATATTTATTGATGTTTTATATTGTATAAATGTATGAATACATACTTTGCCCATTTTCTCAATCATAAAATCCTACGAAAGCACATTATATTTTCAAAACCATGTTGTTGCATCTATTCGTGATTTATAGAATCCATTTAAAGCAATAAACCATCAGTAAAAGCCACATTTCGCACATTTATATCAATAACAATAATACATTTCAGGTCGGGAAGTCGGCTCACCGTTCCATCACCGTAAACAGAAACCTCCCTCGACATTACAACCGCTTGTAAACAGCCATAAAAGCAACACTGAATCTCTGGCACACAAATTAATTTCGGTATTGTGATTATTAAAAACATAAAACCTGCTTCGTAAAACGCTGGCTGCCGTTTGTTTAGCGTAACTTAATAGCAGACGACGCTTGTGTCGCTGCCATGTTCGATAGCTAGTGGCATAAATCTGCGAGATCCACCGGGGGCGCGTGGTAATTAGGATCTAAGGGAGGAGAGGAGCCCTGCCTCTCAGATGGGAGAATTTAGGTCAAGACAGACGAGGAATGAGTGATGGAGAAGGAGAGGGAGAGAGTGTGGCTGTGAAAAAAAGAGTAGTTTGCACCAAGCAACACAGAGAAGATGATGTCCGCTGTCCACATGCAAAACTAGAGATTCCAGATACTGATGAGGAGAATAGAGATGGCATAAAAAGATTGAGAAACGTGTTTGATCTGCCTTGATACAAAAGACTGTATTTTAATGTCATGTTATTGCTGGATGTGTTTAAAACGTCGATAGAAAGAAGGGATGTATTTTTATTACTATTGGTGGTTTGACGGGATTGAGTTGGACCTGGTTTTAAAGAAGAAATATTCAGCATTATTTTTGGACTTTACAATTGACATCGAGACAATTTACTTCATTTAATGTTTTACAATTTGAAATAATACCTTGAGGGTAAAATATATGATGAAAAAAGTAGAAAGACTAAATAATGCTATCGGCCTGTCCTACATCCCTGTGATACCACAAGACACAAGAGGGAGGTCCATCCATCCATCCATCCACTTCCCCTTAATCCATTTCTGGGTCGGGGGGTGGCAGTCAGAGCTCATCCAGTACACTTAGCACCTGCCCCTCACTGATCCTCCTGCACGTGGCCGCAGACCCTACTTTGGGAGACGCTGGTCAAAACGAATAAACTTAAAGGGGCATTATGCAACTTTTGTATATTCTGCCTTGACCCAGTGACCGTATGGGGCCTTTAGTTTAAGATGCTATAAGATCAATTATAACACATCTCAGAATCTTGTAAACAGTGTGATGTGTAATTGCCAATCAGAACATGCTCCACAGGAAAATGACTTCATCACGAACGTAACGGTGTTTTTTAATTCCCGCCTGACTTCCATTAGCGCTGCCGAGTCTCGTACCTGAGCAGCATCTTGCAGGCTCTACAGTTGGTGTTCTTGTCAAACGTGTGCATCTGGAAGTTGTGTTGGTTGGCTGTGGCTCTCTCCGGCTTGATGTTCGACCTGGAGAAAGCAATCGGACTATTAAGAGATAAATCTAATTGCAAATAAAATATTAACAGACAAGAGATGCGTAATGGGAAACCGTAATGGAATATCTAATCCGTCACCTACTCACTCCTGCTGTTTTTGTCCTCCTGGGATGCCACTCATTTGGATCATGTTTTTTTAATATGGACTCATTTGCAAACAGGAATGCTTTGAATGGTCGGGAGTTTGCATGCACTTTTAAAAGTTGTATTTCCCGATACTGAAGCTCTGTCTGGAATATCAATGCTTTTAAGTACATGGGGACGAGCAGGGAGCAAATGCATTTTGAGAAAGAAAACATATTTAATTGTATAAAGGTGAGGTGGATTGTGTTGCCCAAAGACAAGACTAACCCTAACCATAGTAGAGCGGTCTCCCAGCTTTTCTGCCTTGATGTTGGGGTCTTCCTGCGTTTAAACCCCTTTTTAGTTCTTTGTCAAGTTGGTTTTATTTTCCCTTTGTTCAGTTATGTTGTGGTAACGTCACTTGAACCCAAATCTTCTTTTGGTATCCAATATTATGCTCATACCCCGCTCCCATTTCTGTGTGGAGTGAGAAAACAAATGCCCAAAAATAACAATTGTAAACCGCTTTGTGACTCTGGTCTGTGAAAAGCGGTATATAAATAAACATTGCTTACTTACTTACTTCATATTTAATAGATAATGTTACAATTTTTTCTTAATTTTTCACTTGTTGTCCTTGCCTTAAGTCTTTTTGTTTTATACGTTTTATATGTTATACATACAGGACACGCACACTGAGGAAGTATTTTGGCCTCTTTTTATAGTTTGGCAAATTTTTCCTATATTGTGGAAAAAAGTTGTCGGACATTTTTTATTTATTCTCAAGTACAAGCATTAAGAGGGAAAACATTTCATAATTTTTCAGCCTTACAAATGATGAGACTTTTTACTACCATGAAAAGGTTAAAAGCCAGAAAACAGAATGATGTCATAGTGGTACAATGACACCATACTATTACAGGACTGAGACAGGAGCTTATAGACAGAAAGGGGCCAGAAGTTCCTGCAATTAGAATTGATTGATCCAAGATAAGATAAGATAAACTTTGTTGTTCCAAGGAAAATTTGCTGTGGGTTAAAGTGCTACACAGATCTGCATGAATGAATAAAAAATAAAAATGAATATTAGAGGAAAAAACATAGACGGAAGTGCAGTAGTGCTTTGAAATCTCTCGTCCAATTCCACATACAAAATAAATAATAAGTCCTGGATGCAGAGGAGGCGCTAACAAGACCAAGAACAACAAAAACCTTGACACATGACTAAAAGCTGAAGAAAGTTGCATAACTTGGCAACAATCATTTTTATTGCAGTACCACAGATAGCCAGCAGAGACATCGTGCACATACAGTACATAAGCACATGTGTATGCATTTGTGGCCTCCCCTTCAGGGCTCCACACAACAGTTAACCCCCATACGCCGCTGTGCTATTGTCTCTCCACAGAGCCAGAAGTAATAGAAACATGAGAGTATTAGTACCTTGGAGAGCTTTAGTACGGGATGTAGATACTCACATCGCCATCTCAAACTGCTCCATCCACTTCCTTTTGGTCTCCTCGGTTTTGCAGAAGAACTGAAAGCCCTGTTTTCCCTGGAGGTGGATCAGGTAGAAGCCGTACGACCACTGCACAAGAGAAAATCGTGAGGAAACAGGATACATTTAATGATGTTTTTATGGCGTCTATTGGTCACTCGAGTCTATTCTGGTATTATTTTGGAAACTCCATTCTATGCAAGCTGTCTTAAAAGGCATGTATACAAAATAGGAAATGAATCATAAATTAGTCGAAAGGGAAATATTATCAATCAATATTTGTAATTCCTTCACCTGCTTTCCATTTAAATTAAATATAACCGTTCATAGCTAGTAGACAGTCCAAAATGTCTTTAAATGTCATAAACGCAATAGGTTTTTGCCCAAATATTTTAAGCTACAAGTAATGTGATTGCTTGTTTGTTTGAAAATTTAACATTAATTTTAAAGTTACTCTGTCGCTACAAAATCTACTAATATTTTTGAATCAAATACTCTCCAAAATACCATATGTTCTAAGCAAAGAGATGCATTTTCCCTTCAAATCTAAAAATGTATGTTTGTTTTGATATGTACAATAACAGAACATTATGCAGATGAAATGAAAAAAAGTCACATTTAGACATTTCCCCCATGCACAACAAGATCAAACACGCACAAAAAGCCAACCACACATCCGCAGCCAAAACCAGTCTGTAGGGTGACCAGAAATTCCCGAAAAATACCAGAAAAATGAGGAAAGACAACATTTTAGAGGGAGAGATTCTACTATTGTCTGTGCCTATACTTACTATCTTCAGGCCAATTCCATTGAAAGCACAATTTTGACCAATTCATGAAAAGTTTAATTTAATTCATTTGCTTTTTGGCACTTTAACGGCTGGAAGAGAATCTCACAAGGTCATATTCTATTGTGAGATCTTGTTCATCACCTAATTATCATGCTGTTGGTCCAAATCATGCAGTGATGAAAACTCAATTGCGCATTTATAGTAAGAGGTATATTTATAAGCAATGTCACAATTAATTGACCAAATAAATGACTGTGGGCAAGAGAAAAAAAATGGTCAAAAATAAGCCACAACTGTGACTTGTCCTGTATAGAACTTGGACGACTTAAATGTTTTGGATAAATCTACTGGTATAGTATCTAGGGCAGCTTCCGGGGCGATTCTGACATCTGGTCACCCTACCGACGCACAACTATGAGAAGATGGTTGAAATAAAGAGACCACTTGAGCTTACCATTTTTCCACTTGACTGGATTGGCATGCAAAAAGAAAAAAGACACCAGAAGACAGCCGGTTACACATGCAGCATGGACCGAGACATGCAGATTCAAGAACACACAAAGAGCCACGTTTTTGTTTTTTATAAAGAGCCAGTGGCCCCAACGGACTTCGACACGTTCAAGCATGAGCGAACGCGATGCAACCGGACGCACTGGAAATCACACAAATGGTTTTTTTGTGACGTATTGTTAGCCTCATGTTTTACAAGAATCAAAGTAAAAAAAATTCTATTTTTGGAGAATTCAAGACAAATTACAGGCAAACAATTATAGACAACTGGATTTTTGCTTTGCTCACATTGGACTTCAAATGCATATATTAAAGCTGGAGTACCATACATATATTTGTTTTATATTTGTTTGCCCTAACAGAAAGACTCTTAGTAAGCAACATTTTGTGAACCAATGACAACACAACATGCTGCCTTCATCTCGTGTCAAAAAGTCTTCCCATAATTTCCGGACTACAGGCTGCAACTTTTTCCTTGTTTGTTGAATCCTGCAGCTTATACAGCGATGTGGATAATATGTGTACTTTTTTATCGCGATAGAGTTGGGCTATTGTCAGAGCAAAGTTTATAGACTTATTATTTTGAATTATTTTGAAATCATGTTTTGGTAACTATAGGATTCTTGCTTATTGTCAAAATAGACTGAATGAGTCTGAATCTTATAGCACGAATGAGTACCAGCATGGAAGCCAATGGGTAACCTCAGAAACACCTGAGGTTAAACCATGTTTCCTGACCAGTTAAAACACTGGTCTATCTCCTACTATTACAGCAGCTTTAATAATACAAGTGTAAGTAAGTAGGGTTAGTATTTATGTACCGCCTTTCACAGACCAGAGTCACAAAGCGGTTTATAATTCTTATTTTTTATATATATATATACAGTACATATAGTGTGGCCTATATGTGAACAAACTTGATTTTCTCTTCAAATGTAGGTGTTGTGCGGCTTATATACAGGTGCGGCTTATATACAGGTGTACCTTATAGTCCAGAAAGTATGATATATTTTGAATACAGAACAGCGCTGCGAGTCACTATTTGACCCTTTGGGCTCAGAGATAATTAGCTGAGATAGGGGGGTCCTGGACTAAAGATGCGACAGAGGCAAAAATATACTGTACACTGTGAAAACTAGAAATAGAACTAGATTTTATTACATTTGTAGTGGTTTGAACGTCAAGTACCCCAGCTTTAACAATGCAAACCTTAAATACAGAAAATAAAAAGCCCTTCTATATATAACAGGGGTCTCCAACCTGTTGCTTGGGAGCTACCAGTTGCTCGCCACCTTCTTCCAAGTAGCTCCCCAAAGGATTCAGGCATGATTATTCTATGTTGAGTCATTTCATATCTATTTTCACCCTATGTTTTCCTTATGTGCACTATTGCAGGGATATACAAAATAATGGTATGTTTTTGTTTGAATACAAGGGTTATAGTTTGCCTTAGTTATTGTATACGTGACGTTTTTAACGTTTTTAAAAATTGAGTACGTCTCTGCCATTTCTGTTCTGTAAAAGTCACTCTCTCCGTTCAAAAACGTTTGGAGGCTGCTGATATATAGTGTTGTGTCATGGACCTAAGTAAACACATATTTTCCACTACATACATGAAGCACATTATGACACTATCAGACATGTTTCCGCCATATGTATCATCTTAATTGTAATTTAAGGATGCGACTAGGGAGATTTAAAGATATATCAGGGAGGCAACGGTGCAGCGAGGCTAACAATAAGCCGCATACTCACAGTTTTACAGTGTTCTGGTCGGTGAGACGATAGTGGAAGAACGGAGCTGTCTTTTTCTTACCTTCTTCATGTCTCGGTTGTTCATAGGGTCGTCGGACATTTTGTACAACTGCAGCTCGATGATTTCTTTGAGCTCGTAGCTGTAGCCTTTTCTTTTGCACACAATGACCACTTTATCAAACAGGAAAATGTACCTAGGAAGACCAAAACAGAGAAGAATGACATTAAAATGGATTCAAGCCAGAATGCTTAAAGGTCTATTGTACAGGACTGGACCCATTGACCCTTTTCTTTTTCTTTTGTCTATTTATCATTTTCATTATTGTATTTTTTCTGTATAATCTGTGTACAGGGGTTGCAAATGTACAAATACAACTCAAGATACGACTGTGAAACCCTCTTCTGGTTCTGCAAGCTTTAAGTTTTTTCCACATTTGTCTTTACAAAACTCAAACTCTGTCAGATTGGATTGCATTTGTGAACAGCGGATTGCAGGTCTCTCCACAGATTTTTGAATAAAAATAAGGAACACGGCGAAGTTATATGAATACTTATGCTACGTATGTACACATGAGATGCAAACGTGAAACTGACCGGTCCTGCTTGGTCCGGTTGACGATGGAACAGACTTTGATTTCTCCGTCGATCTTGGGGCGGCCGTATTCCTCCAGTTTCACCTGCTGCTTAGGACACACACACACACACACAAGACACCTTTAAAATTAAGTAATGGACAACTTTATAACCCTAGATTGATTGGATAAGATATGTTGAGAGATCCTTTATTTACAAAATACACAAAATAAGTAGTAGCTATGTTTTTTAGCTAACTGTAAATGCTTCAATACCTGTCTACTTATTATCCTTCCCTAAATATAGGGCAGGAAAATAAGTAGATAAGTTAAAGTGACATTGTTCTGTGGACATTGTGAAGTTGCAGTATTGCACATTACACATAATTGTAGTATTTACTTATTAACAGATTAATTTTCTTATTTACAGATGAATTTGTGCTGACAAAGTTACATTTAGATGGTTGTATGTGAGATTTTAACATATAGTTTACAGAAGTGGTCCTCCATAGTGTTCAGCTCCAACAAAAGATAGCTAGATAGATACACTTTATTGATTCAGGTGTCCAGCAGCAGAAGACTCTTTTTTGTTGTTGTACAGTCAGTAAACGTTCCCTTCAGCAGCGTATTGATAGGAGCCTGTTGCTCCGATGACTCTTCTGAGCGGCCATAGTGTCATGCAATATGAAGCTGGTTGAAATGTAGCCAAAATGATTTACACATGTCCTTCTGATAGCTGCCAGTAGATTCACATGATTTTTTTTAATGAATTTGAGTTTTTTTACGGTTTCAAAAATATTCCCCTTTTCCACAGAAGAGCCTTGTGAAAGCCAACTTTATAAAGAATGAAACCACAAAATGGCTGTTTTTCATGTTATTAGCAATAATTGTAGTAAGTTGCAAGTCAATATGTGACCCTCGGGGCTGAGCAGGGGTGGTTATCTCTATTTCACTATTTCTCCTGAAAAAAGCCTGAAGTGACAGAGGCAAACTCATCATGAATGTACAAACTGCAAGATAGTATGCTTATTTAAACTGCTATGAGAGCTGTTTAAATGTGGAAAAACCATATTTAAATAAGTTTTTTCTTTCTTTTCATAGATAATACATTTTGTTTGTGAAGCCGAAAAAGGCTTTGAAAAGTACGATTGTTTGAACAAACGAGAACACTACATTTTTTCAACGTATTATAAAAAATGTATCTTGCTCTTTCACATCTCTTGCATACACACAACAGAGCCCTAGGAGTCACTATTTGACAATGTGGTTGAGAGTGGTCCTCTTAACTTTGTGAAGCGCTTTGGGTGACCTTGGTCTGTAAAATGGGCTATATAGATACTAGAACAATACTTACAGTACTTACTCCACGCTTTTTCACATTTCTTTTAAAAAATCTGTATTTGATAAGTATATGATAGAACCAGACTAATTGAGATTCAAGAACTAAATGCATGGATTTTTAAAATTATTTTTTTATACATAGTTTGATATTACTGTGTTTTCAAAGTTAGGTCACCCAGCTTTAAGTCTGACTTCAAATCCTCACTGCTGAACACTCTATAATTTGGGAGATTTCTTCAGCCACATCGTTCACATACCACCAAACTAGCGACTAATTACCACGGCATCTCTGGCACATACTTCCACTGCGTCCAGAACAAACACACACACACACACACGCACACGCACACACACACACATCTCACACCATTGTCTTTTGAAGGAATTCTAATGACAGAGGCGTTCTAATGGCTGTTTGCACGGATAGAATGTGGAGCATACAGATGAGTGCGTTTGGCAGCTGACAGCCCCAAAACTAATGAAGGAACATTGCGGGAAGAGACATAAAGAACTGGGACTTTACCATGTTGTGCACGTCCAGAGGAGCAGTGGAGTGTCAGAGATCCAATGACTCCTCCATTACTCACTATGAGATGCCTGGCAGGCCTTTGTCTTCAATAACCTCACATTTTTTCATTGCCTTTTTTCTTATTCTGGCAGATAATAAGTCTTTACCAGAGCTATCGGTCACATTTATGGGTTTGCGAGGGGTTTTGTCACGCAAAGACGGCACGAAGACAGAACTCGTAAGTATTCCGAAGACAAATCATCGTTTAGCATTTCTCGTGTTTACAGATATGCAATTTGTATGTGCCGTAGATAGGCGAGGATCTTCAAGCCGAATATAAATATGATTACATTTACTGTGTGCTTAGAAGAAGGTCAAAGCTGGGGTGCCTGACTTGCAAAGAACAACAAAATGGAACTATTTCATAAAAACCCATCCGACTAGTTCCTTGCCCTCAATACATTTTACACATGCATCTTTTTTGTCCTCTGTCACAGCTTTGTATCAGCTTTTTGTGAAAAAGAGAGGACCACCCTCACTCAGCCAATAATCTCTCTGCCCAAAAAGTGTCAAAGAGCGACTGGCTGGGCTCGCTCTTACAAGAACACAAAGGATTACATGTTTTCTGTTAAGCTCAAGATGGGTGTTGTGGTCTGGTTTGTTCAGAACATGTTACTCTTACAAGACTCTTTCTCTTGGAACAAACATGTATCCTTTAAGTTGAAAAGTTAGTGAGGGTAAGCTTGAAGATTGGGAAATGTGTTCTCTGCTTTTGACCCATCCTTCCAATGCTTCTAGGGGGATATTTCAGGACCCATTTCCAGTTGTTGATGCTCCACTGGGTCAGGACTGCCACATTTGGATGATTTCACCAATGGTCCATTTGTGAAACTTCAATCCAAAACCAAATTATTTTACCCACAATTATTTTTGGAATAGGATTCAGACCCTCAGGACCTCACCAGTTCCACCCCTAAGCTAAAATCTAAGCATCCACATGGGGATTTCAAGAGATATTATTATTATTTTTTTTTTTTATGGACATGGTAGTAGTCCACAACAAAAAATGACGTATGTATACTGTTCGACAAATGGATGGACTTTACCCAAAAATGTGATTCAGAGAACTAAATTCAATGTCTTTTTGTAGAGCCCTAGAAATCACAACAGAGGTTATCTTGGAGAACTTTACAAAGCTGTTGATTAGCCAACACAGATCAGAGAATCAAACACCAGATATGCAATGAAAAAACTAACCATGAGAGCCATTGGTCCATAAAAAGTTAAATTATTTCCACATTTGTGTATCTCCTGGGAACATTGGTTTATGTGTTAATATTATTAGACAAATTATCAATGGTAGGATTTTCTAATTGGCTATTGGCAAAACAATACATTTGTAAAGTCTCTGCGGTTAAACCCATACAACAATAACTACCGCTATTGGAACTTTTTTGTGTAATTCTTCTCAAAGTTCTTTTTTGTTGACTTTTTCATACCAGGTTTTCTATGGAGCTCTGGAACTCGCTGATCTTCTTCAGAGTCTCATTGTCTCGTTTGACTTCGTTGATGTACATGGCCAGGTCCTGCGGAAGACAGAGCAGACAGACAGCTTTTCAAACTGCTAACATGAATCATTTTGACATGTGTCTCCTCGCGCTACATTAACCACACTCCGTAAGAACCGTAGCCGATGCGTTGGTAGTGATTTGGACCAGGGGCCGTGGCGAGTTATTGTACACTGGAGGACGGAAGCATGCGTGGAATAGGACTAACCTGCATGGCCTCCAGTGCTTCCTTCAGCTGCTGTCTCTCTGGTCGATCAGTAGAGTGACTCAAAAGTTCCTATGCAGAGAGAATATTGTCAAATATTACGAGTGGGTAGAGTCAGTGTAGAACGACTGATGTTGTGAAAAATAGTCTTCCTTGAGCTTTTTAATCATGGTACAACATTGTTTCCTGATCAGAAAAAAATCCTAAAGCATAGACTGTATCAGTGTGGACGGGTCCCGGCTCAAAAAGGTGGTCTAATTTGTTCTGATTCAATTTATTTGCCATTTGCAGTAAAACCACCGTGGTATACATACTAAAAAGTACAAGGAACAATTGTCAATGTGAAACCAATCAACAAAAACAGTTTCAGGACAAGTGCAAAATATCTCTGTTGGAGCAAAAAAAAATTCATAAGGTGACTGTATCGTCTGCGGAACTCTAATAATGCAATTGTTCAAATTCTGGTCTCTGCTGTTCACCTCCAAATTATGGACTTACTGGAGGTAATGCCTTTATACTGTACAGCAGCTGTAATGTTCTCTTTTTTATGTACATAATTCTTTTTCAAAATGCAATAAACTGTATGTATTGTGTTTTTTTTACTATGGACCATATTGTACTATGTTCTTAATACAAATTCTTATTATAAAGCTCCTCACAGCAGCAGTAGAACGCTCCATTGATTTGAATATCATTTCAAAACGTCATACCGGTCATTATTTCTTTATAACCGACCTCTCAAAACAATAATGACCGCTGCCCTTTGGCAACGCACCCTCTGCTGGGAATTCAGATGTGTAGATTACTCCGCAAGTAGTTCCGGCCACTCCGGAGCTAGCCACGCTCAATAAACGTAAATACCAATCAATCAACACATATAAATGTTAATCCGAGAATACATTATACATACAGTATACATTCTTAATACATGTGCACAGAGGTTTTCAGAAGTATCTGTTTAGGTTTTCATGACAAAAATACTGTTTTAATGCGAGAAAAAGTGATCGCGCTAAATCTGGAAGTAGATTTTGGGAACATTTGCAGAGGATACTTATTTTCCCATAATGACCTGCGTAATATACATTATCCCTTACATAATACAAACTAATACATACTAAGTTAGGTACCCCAGCTTTATTGTAATCATCAAAATGAAGCGTGCAATCCAATCTAAAAATATGAGTCTGATTATAATGGATTTAGACTAAACCTCAACCCAGTTCTGAGTTGCCAACACAGTCTCTTCTTCTCCCTCTATAATACACCACTATCACATCGGACATATTTATGCGAGAAAATGATGGGGAACATTTGCATCAATAAAAACAATGTATTTTCGTATAATCTGATTTGCAGTGAGTCAGCATGGATCTTGCTTATTGCGTGACTTGTGGGGAATAAACATATGCATGAGGATTGAGAGCCAGTTTGCATACATTACTCATGCGTTTCAGGCTGATTATGCATGTGGCCGTGATGCGCCTGAAATACACAGTATAGCATCAACATATATTCAAATTATAGACAACAATGAGCTGGAGATTTGTGTAAGCCCTGCGAGGATGAGGAAATGAAGTCAGATGAGTCAGTACGTTTAGTATGAAGTACTGTACATAGAATGACTTAGATGCATGAGAAACTGGGAACTGTACGAAGTGGCACTTAAAGCTGAGGCACCTAACTCTCAAACCACATCCCATCAACTCAATGTAACTATTTTCAGGCTCTCACACAGTTTAGTTTTATCAGTAGTTTCCCCATGTTTTCTAATTTGGCCTCTGCCACATCTTTTGAATAAAGGTATCTGATTGATCAACGCCTAGGATCATCAAGAACTTTCAAACCATAGGCAATGACTATGTAATCAAGTCCATCTCTCTCAAAACAGTTTGGTATTGACAAGTTTTCACAGGTCCGTACTGTATGTTTGGCTTTTTTTTAGACAGAAAAGTGGAAAAAAGAGACACCATCACTCACTCATACAGGGATACAGTTACTCGCTCTCTTAAAGGGAGGTGGTGTTTACAACTTCAAATGTATTTCTTTAGAACATATTTTTTGACAATATCTTTTTGTGTAGTGTCATCTAAATTAGGTATATTCAAATAAGCCCTCGCCTTGAAATAAGCATCACCAGTAATATTTGTTGTCTATGCGCATGTTAGAATCTGTTGTTGATTTCAAGTCCCAACTAAAGACTTATTTGTTTAGAGAAGCTTTCTCGCCACACTTTACATAGGCTTCTGTGAACTGTGGCCATGACGAGGACCATCTTCTATGTCTTTGTTTTTATATCTGACTTGTACAGTATGTGTGTTATTTTATCTGTATGTTTTAAATCTGAAGCACTTTGTGATCCTGGTCTGTGAAAGGTGCTATACAATTAAACTTTACTTACTCTCTTACATATATTTAGAAACAATTGTGAAGGGCCTCAGCTGTCAAGAATTTTATTGCGTCCAATCAGGGGGCGGGTCTAACTGGTGTTCACGTTCAAAAGGATTTCTCCAACTTCAGGATGTCACTGACCTTACATTCCACTCGTTATGATTCTCAAATCATTAATGACAAAACAAGGAATAAAACAAGGATTTCTATCGGGACCTTTGTGAAAAAGGTCTTGGTTATAGATTTATTGTTGCCAAAACTCTTGTCTATTCAGCTAATATGGTCCCAGCTGGATTCGTCTGCATATCTGGCAACCTGAGTCAGGGAGAGCGGGAGAGGACTACAGCTTATTGCCCGTGATTGCAGTACCACTTTGGCCAGATTTTTACATGTTGCTCCTTTAAGTTGCTGAGATGATGGAATAAGCTGTTACACACTGTCACAACCATCAAATATGCAGCGTTTCGCTCTGGACCGCCAGCATGTGAGACGATTGTGCTGAGTCAGCTCTCGTCCGGTAAATAAGATATGAAGAAAGAGACTTGTCTTTCTTTTACGATGCAGGACTTTACAGAGTGTAGCCTCAGTCCACAGACATCATTCTACCAGAGCAGAGGAGCGGTGAAATGAACTGAGTTTAATGATGTTAGTTCATGCTCGATTTGGCCGAATTGGCTCGAATCCATTTAAGTGAAACATGTTTGCAGAGGTTTGAGGGTAAGGAAGAATTCAGCATTGGTTACAAAAATAGCATAAAACTACTGTATATTGGGAACATGTGAGGGCTCAAAACTCAAGCTAAAGGAGAGAGGTGATGGACACTCAGACATTGTGTGGCACTGCCTCACAGACAACAGTAAAATACAATATATGGCTCACTCCACACTAAACTGTATCAATGTATTACATTTTGGTTAACGACACAAAAAAGTCCCGAAATGTCCGCGGTCGTTATTGCTGAATGTTCACAGACCCGTTTTGTCCCCAGCTTGTTTGTCCAGTGGAGGGCGCTCTACACAGATTCGTTCATGCCCATTGGTCCATAAGGGGCTGATGACCAATGTCCATAAATGTTCATATATGTTGATAGATGTTGAGTGTCCTGGATCATCACCACTTTACCACAATTGTAAAGCGCTTTGGAAATTCTGGTCAGTGAAAGACACAATAAAAATATAGATTACTTACTAAAATATACAATAATGTCAACAAGTCACCTGTTGAACAGCACTGCAGCATTGGTTCTCCAGCCAGTGTAACCACAGCACAAAGCAGCTACAGTGAAGGCTAATCCAATCATGAGAATAAAACCAGGAGGAGTGTTCCAGAGATGCAGCAGCGAGGGGAATGTGGCGGTTGGTTCTTCGTACATTTGCATAAAGAAGCACCGCTGGAGTTCATTAGCACTTTATTATTATGTGATCGAGACAGAGAATTTCCAGTTCATTAACATGAAGAGTTTGGTATGAAAGTGTTATTAATGTGAGTAATAACTTTCAAATTGAAAATGAAAATTTCAATTCATTATTCAGGAGGTATTTATTACATGATTTTTCATCATTTGTAACCCTACATTCCAATGTCTATTGTTTTCTCTTTTAACTTAAAGCGACAACAAGTTCCCAGACGCCATATAAATAACATTGATTGTTATTTTTTTATTTTTGTTATAGATATTTTTGATACCAGTTACAGTCATAGACACGCACACATGCAAATTTTCTCAAGCACATAATTTCATTTCTTCTAAAATTTCAACCCAACACGTGGTTAGAAATAACGAAATCAAAAAGATCAATCGCACCAAATTGTCTACGATTACAAGCCTTCTTTATCTTTCAGGTTCAGTTTTGGTTCAATCCATTCAAATAGTAACTGGTTTTGTTCAGAAAGATCTACCTGAAAATAACATCAACATTCATAGTAAATAAAATAATGTTATAAAGCAATGTAAACACAAGTAGTCAAACACAATATCTACAGATGCAAAAGTTTAATTATATATCAAACTATCCTGATACTGCTGTGAGTGGAGCTAAAACACCTCACTTTTTTGGGTAGAATGTTGGAAGATGGTAAAAAGCTCAACAAAAAAGACCATTGTGTGTAAAGTGTGTGTGAGTGTGTGTGTGTGCGTGTATGATGTTGTGTGGTACCTTCAGTAGTAGGTGGTACTTGAGGACCCTCTGCATGGGCACCACCAGCAGGTCCTGCAGCTTGAACTTTCCCTCCTGCACCTTCATCGTACACTCCTGAAAATAAAACAATGTGACATCAACCAAGAGCTCAACGTAACGGTACGAGTTTGTGCGAGTGAAGTTAGTCCGTTGCATCGATGCTGTGTCGGGGAGTAAAAGAAGTAAGTAAGTAATCTTTATTAATATACCGCCTTTTCACTGCAGATCTGAGTCTCAAAGCGATTTACAATTGTTAATTATGGGCATTTACCTCCTGTACCGGCGGGGTCGCCGGTACAGGAGGCGCATGCCAGACATGGCATGCGCCATGTCTGGACATATTTTTAGTGGTAGGGGAAACCGGAGTACCCGGAGGAAACCTACGCAGACACGGGGAGAACATGCAAACTCCACTCAGAAAGGCCCTGGTCCGACCGGGACCTTCTTGCTGAGAGGCGAGAGTGCTATCCACTCAGCCACCGTGCCGCTCTACAGGTCACACTTGCTGAACATTGCATTTGTGTTCACGTCTTTGGGTTATAAAACAGGCAGCGTTTTGACCCAAAATCTGGATCAGCATTCCTGAAAATGTTCAGAGTGCCAATGTCTCATGCTCTACGGACAGGCCAACATGCTGATCCGCAGGTTTGGTATGTGCTCACCACCTGTTAGGATAAGAATCTTTAAGGCCTATTGCACTCCCATGTACACGGCCCACCTGTGGAGGTGCTATAAATAGAGCAGTTTGCAAAAACTTACTGTGGCATTGACTGATGCCATGCGGATGTTGCTGAGGGTCCCACGATGTAGCAGTGCCAGTGTCATGTTTGTAAATGCGGGTGTGCCCACTTGTCCTGCTGTACTGCGTAATCTCATGTACAGGTGCATGTGCAGACTGTGCCACTCTGTCATCAGCCTCATTGCTACATTGACCAACCCAGGTCTAAGCTTGGTGCATTATTTCTCCAATATATGGACACACTGGCTTCAGAGCCTCTACAGGAAATTATCTATCTTTTATCTTTTTTATTTTGTTTTTTAGAATGTGTTTTCTGTATATCTTCTGGTATGGACCTTTTACTCTCGTGTCCGAAATAAAGTATTGAATTGAATTGAATGCTCAAACCAGGTTAAAAACAGTTCTGTTTTTGCTGTGCGTACAACTGAAGGATTGTATCTTCACTCGTTTTAATGCACTGTCCTTATTCATGATTTAAGGCCTTGTGGGATTGTCTTGTATCTTGTTTTGTATGAAATGTGCTATACAAATAAACTTGCTTGTCCTTAAAGCATTTTTCAGTTAAATTAGGGATCCTATAAGTTGTTTCTCAAAGCTTAAACAAATTATTTAAAAGTGGGTGATGTGTCTTGACTAAGGACACAACAACAATTTGGCTTCTTAGTCAAGGACAGCCGAAGCTTCCCCACTGTGGAACCTGGTGATCCCTGAGGTCTCCCATCACAGGGCTTGGTTAGCATTCCTGCTTAGCTTCTGAGATCAGGGACCAAGCTTTCACATGCAGCACATACAAAATACATAATGCCAAACCACAGGTGTCAAGGATAGAGACTATACATAGGGAGGCAGCAGTTCAGTTATATGCAGGGAAAATCTAGAACAGTCTTCCTGAAAATGTGAGACAGGCTTCAGACTCTAACAATGTTAAAATCCAGGTTTAAAACAGTTGTGATTAGTAATGATTTGAACGCCTTTTGTGATCTTAATGTATCTGTACAGTTTTGTTAAACACTTTGAGTTGCCTTGTGTATGAACTGTGCTATACAAATGACCCTGCCTTGCCACGATCATACATTTCATCTTTTCTACAGTACATATTTATAGATTATTCTAAATTGTTTATTGCCAGGCTCGACACCAAGTCCCATCTCACTGCAAATTAACGCACTTGCATTATTTATGTTTCTCACAGCGAGGCTAGTCCGTGTCCCGGCGATGTCACAATTACCCAGCATGCCGATGGGGACATTCTTCCGCTAATGAACGTGTCTTTGGGTGCGAGCTAGCTGACGAGGCTTTGTTAGCGCAGTCATTGTAATGCTCATTTAGGTTCCTTTGCAAAATGGAGAGGGTCTATGGGCAAATGAGGATCACAGGCTTAATTATAGGACTGTTGGAGATAAAGATGACATTATCAGGTGGGCGTTAGCTCAGATAATGGCTAATTTGTGGAAAGAAGAGTATGGTAGAAGTTAAGACTATAGGCAACTCTTATAAAACTAATGCAAAACCAATTTTGACCTTGCAAAAACTCCCTTTAACAGCTTACAAACGAATCCAGCTTGGATCATTATACCTGAATAGACAAGAGTTTTTTCAACAACAAATCTGTAACCAACACCTTTTTCTCAAAGGCCTCCCCAATGGAAATCCTAGTTTTATTCCTTGTTTTAGACTAGGGGTGTCCAAACTATTTAGTAAGAGGGCCACTTTAGTTCACCAGACTAGTTCAGGGGCCGACATCACGGACTGAGAAACTGGCATTGGGCTGTTCTGAGATTTATGATGATCTATGACAGAGCTGAAGTTGGCTGAATGACAAATGTTTACTATCTCACCAGCTACATTAGCGCCATTACTACTACTAACTTCTTTGGGTTGGCGAGGCAGAGGGCCACAAAAAAATGACACTGAGGGCCGCAATTGTCCCTCGGGCCTGAGTTTGGACATGTCTGTTTTAGACCTTTTCCGTAATGCGGCTTAATATTTTTCTTTACCAGTGAGATTAGCTATAGCCTAGTTCTGGCAACCCGTATCAGAAACTTTCTGATTGGTAATAGGGTGGAATATTTAGGGGCTGTAAAAGTTTGAGTACAGTGGCTCCATCTGCATGTGAAAGCCAGATCCCATCAGATTTAAAACAAAAAAACCCTTTTGACGCCATTTTTCAGAAATGACAACAGGGAGGACAACAGGGAGGTCAGACCTGCTCATGGAAAATGAAACACCTGAAAATACTGGAGCAAATAAATTAACAACTTTGATTTTTACGCATTACACATACACATTTCATAAAATAATATTGTCATTCATAGTTTGGTTAAAAAAAAAAATTGGGGAAGGTCTGTGTTAAAGTCAAGTTACTGTATAGAAAGGGGAGACGCGAGTTCATTCTGCTACTTTGGTGCCGACAAGATTTGAAATATTAAAGTTATATTTGATTTTAAAACATAGTGATGCTGCAGAACCTGGTCTCTTCATGCCTTGTATCATTTGAAAGCACATTTTTACTCAGATGAAAACGATACTTGAAATGACGCAGAATAAACTCTTTCTCGAGCATTCTGCCGATCAAAACATATTTAAACAGTGTGGCATTTTACAAGACGAAAAGCGAAATGTTGTTTACGCGGCTGTGGCACGTCTAATTAAGCAACTCATTTAGCTTCATTTATCTGTGAAGCAACGCTCGCACTTTGGATTATTTGCTTTTCCACTTTCATGATGATATTTCATAAATTAAACACATTTCTAATTATGGGCACATACATTGCAGCATCGGAAGCAATTAAATATGTGTTTGTGTTATTGCCCATGACTGATTGCGTTGCTTTCATCTGTTACTATTCTATGCATTTTGTGCCCGTTAAAAAAAATATTGAAAACATAATTTGAAGCTACTTCATTCCAATTTATGGTACTACATATTATTTAGGAAAGAGGTGTTCTGGGCATGTCCCACCAGGAGGAGACACCAGGGAGACCCAGGACACGTTGGAGTTCCCCCAGATGTTTGGGCATCTCTACTTAGACTGCTGCCCCCACAACCCGGCAACGGATAAAGCGGAAGAAAATTGATGTTTTAAGAAGGAACCTTTTTTTCTATTATTTTTATACAGTATATACATGCAGGAACATTCCACAGAATTAAAGTTAGGGAATTTGTTATATTCATTGGAATATTTCAGATAGTACAACGTCCATCCATTTTCTTCCCCTTAATCCATTTCTGGGTCGAGGGGGTGGCCAGAGATGCCACCCAGTACACAGAGCACCAGCCCCTCACTGATCCTCCTGCAGGTGGTGAGTCCACAGGAGCTGAGATCTTTCAGTGGGGGCTTCAGGCAAAGTGGGGTTAAGTGTCTTGCCCAAGGACACAACGACAGCAGTCACCAGTGGGATATGGAGGACCAAAAATGACTAAAGTATAAATAAATAAATAAATAAATAAATAAATAAATAAATACAGGAGTATATTAATAAATACATTCATTTTGGACAATAAAAACTAAATATTTACATTGATATGCTAAATATTACTCTGAAATCAAATAAATATACTTTTATTTAGGTTATTTATCAAAATCTACATTTTTTCCTTTATTTATTTATCCATTTATTGCATATATTTATTTATGTATTTCTACATTTCTTCATTTATTTATTTATGTATTTCTGTGTCGCTGCATTTCTTCATTTATTTATTTATGTATTTCTACATTTCTTCATTTATTTATTTATGTATTTCTGTGTCGCTACATTTCTTTTATTTATTTATGTATTTCTACATTTCTTCATTTATTTATTTATGTATTTCTGTGTCGCTACATTTCTTCATTTATTTATTTATGTATTTTTGTGTTCCTGTATGCTAATTAGGTGGGCGGTGCTGAACTCAATCTAGAACAGGATTGGTTAGGATTGCGTGAACTCTGGTCTCGATCATTACTGCCTCACATTACGGTACTCTGTTAGCTAGCTAGAGATCCTCCGTGCACTTTTGTGTGGTATGATGGCAGTTTCGAATGTAAGTTTTTTAGGAGCCATTGCTCATCAATTAAGAGCATTAGCAAATGATGTTAATGATGTTGAGCATAATGCACCTGAGGACTATCTACTCTTTCGGCTGGAAAGACTATTAAATGTTTTAGTTCATCACAGTGCTGACCCAGAGGTAGACTTTGATGCAACTGTGCTGGACGCTCTTCAACAAGCTATACAGCAGCTTCACATCCTCTCACAAACCGAGAAGGCTAAAGCCTAGCGTACATCGAACTGGCAACTGATTATATCCGTCGCATATGAGTTGCTGCCCCGCACACATCGACAATCTGACGAAAACGGGCAACTCCCAGTAGCAGACCAGTCTCGGGAATAACAGCGCGTACATCGACAGCAACTGGCCTCAACTACAGTGTGTTTTCTGACATAAACTGTTGCGGGCGCGCAATACACGCAATACACACAATACACACACGTTGTCGGAGCGGCGCATGGAGCGCGCACATCGGGTCATATCTCCGAAACTGAGGACAACTAGTTGCCGAAAAGTAGAACACGGGCAACTGACTGAAACTGGAGATCGACTGTTCATCTCCAGTTGTAAGAGCGCGCACAACGACCGATTTCAACTGATCATCTCCATCATCTCCTCTCAGTTGCCAAAAGCCGCCTTGCAACTTGTCTCTAGTTTCTCTGTCGATGTACGCTAGGCTTAACTTTGCTTCTGTCTGGTTGCCCTGGCTGACCTACTGCCCACCAATCCTGTTCTAGATTGAGTTCAGCACCGCCCGCCTAATTAGCATACGGCAACACAGAAATACATAAATAAATAAATGAAGAAATGTAGAAATACATAAATAAATAAATGAAGAAATGTAGAAATACATAAATAAATAAATGAAGAAATGTAGAAATACATAAATAAATAAATGAAGAAATGTAGCGACACAGAAATACATAAATAAATAAATGAAGAAATTTAGAAATACATAAATAAATAAATGAAGAAATGTAGCGACACAGAAATACATAAATAAATAAATGAAGAAATGTAGAAATACATAAATAAATAAATGAAGAAATGTAGAAATACATAAATAAATATATGCAATAAATGGATAAATAAATAAAGGAAAAAATGTAGATTTTGATAAATAACCTAAATAAAAGTATATTTATTTGATTTCATAGTAATATTTAACACATCAATGTAAATATTTAGTTTTTATTGTCCAAAATGAATGTATTTATTAATATATTCCTGTATTTATTTATTTATTTATTTATTTATACTTTTTTGGTCCTCCATAGTGGGAGTTGTGAAGTAGGTCAAACCCATGACCTTCAGGCTCAAAGGCCAATGCTCTACCAACTGAGCTACTGTCGCACCTTATAGTACAACAGGATTGGGTTTAAAAAAATATGACAAATTTGAATTTTGACGTTGATATTGGAATGTAACTTAAGTTATCATTTTGGTAAATCGTATGTGGCTGAATGCTCTGTATTGTAATTCACTTTAGCTTCAGGAAGACACCGGGAGGTCTGGGGAGCTCATATGCTAAGTGTCTTTTGTTGTGTTGGTTTCTTCCTTTCCCATCTGCATACGAAGGTGTGTCTTGTTCTACCAAAAGGGGCTTGCCATCTGTGAATCTTCAGACTTGTCCTGAGAGAGGCTAGGGTCTGTGCCTTGCCTCTGTCAAGACATTCTCCTTGTACAATGTAACAAGTAAAAGATTAACTTTGTGCCTTTGTTGTGTGAGATTTCATCAGGTTCAACTGTAGCTGAAACAGCATTATCAGACGTCTATTTGAGTTAGCTGTTAGTACACGATCCCAATTCAAATTTAAGAGATCACAGATTACAGAACAGTAGGAATGAGGAGCACACAATACAAAATATAAAAAAATGGACTATACAATACAAACTTAAAATAAAATCCATAAATTTAAAAGAAAATAAATAAAATCTCAAGCTTGAGCATAATAAGGAAGCAAATCTAAAATTGCCCAAATGAAATCAGTCATGTATAGACTGTATGTGTGTCCGTACCTCGACTTTGATGCGCACGTCATCTCTGGTGGCGATGAGCTCGTCCAGTGTTTTCTGAGCATTCTCCATGTGACTGCAGTACTGACCGTAGATCAACAACCTGGAGACAAAGACAAAACGTTTCGATGCAGCGAGGTCATTTGGAATCAACCATAACTGAAGAAGCGAGAGCGCCACTGCTGGTAGTCTTGCACAGTTTTTTTAATGTGGTTTTACTGCAAATGGAAAATAAATGTATCTGAATCTTAATCTGGTTATGGTCTCATTTTTTTAGTAGAGCTCATTTACCAGCTCGTGTCGGCCCTCTGAGTGCTGCTCTCATAATCTTAGAATTTGAGAATGCAGCCTTATACAGGGTCCAAGTTGAACTACCGTAAATTCTATTAACCCTGCGGACTATATAGTGATGCGGCTTATATGTGTTTTTTATTGTGGGAGGGTTTGTGTCAGAGCAGAGATTGCATTTTAATTACTTTGACTTAATCAAGTTTTATACATCCCTGTACCAAGACAATTTTCACCAATTGGAGACAATAAAGCAGCATCCTATCTCATTGTATCTTATTGGACACTCGTTTATTGTCAAAAGAGATGAAGGTGAATGAGTACCAGCAGAGAAGCCAGGGTTTGAAGCTTTTAAAACCTTGTCATTGAATTATGCTGTGTCTATTTGCTACATTACAACATGAAAACCTGAGGCTTATATTCAAATGCGTGGAAAAAATAGATTTTCTTTTGAAATTCAGATGGTGGCTATACTACCGGATAACATAAGAAGTGTGGATTATTATTTTTTATGCACGGGACAGAGGGGGACAAACGAGGAGTCGCTGGAAAGGAGTCGAGCAATAGAAGCGACATCGAAGGAGAGAAAAAAAAGAATGGCATCCACGGGTTTTGTCCGGGACACATCTGCAGGTGCCTTGTCCTCTCCAGGTGAAGAGGCCCTTTCTTAAGTGGAGGAGTTCAACTATCTCTGGGTCTTCGGTTTCCCCTATCACTAAAAACATGCACAATAGGTATGAATGTAAATGAGAGAGTGAATGTACAGTATGGTGTTGATTGGGGGCTGATGGTCCAGTGTGTTCTGCGACTCGCTTCCGTAATCATCGTGTGGGGACTGATTGGAACAATATCTGAACTCTGAACATTGTAAAGTGCTTTGGGTGACCTTGGTCTATAAAATGCACTATATAAATAAAGATTACTTACTACTTACTTACTTACTAATCTTTTTTGTGTTGTTTAAATTAAAAAAATACCAAATAAAACCGTTATGTTTGTGGTTGCAACGTGACAAAATGCGCAAGCTGCATAGACATTTCTGCAAGGCCATATCTTCAATTCAGATTACATTGTATTTGTTTTTAGTTATAGGACATTATCTCCAGCCCTATGGTCCCAGTGAGGCAAGATTGGACTCAAACAAATATTCTTTATTAATAATAGCATTTGAGAGGTCAGTGTCGGAGTCAGCTCACCCAGCAGGGGGCATTCAAATGAATGTGTGGATATATGTTTTATGATTATGAGCGTCCCCCATGCATAACCAATGAGCCATCCCTGCGGTGATGCTGTAATGAGGGAAGTGGTATTGAGGCTGCTGTATTCACTTAAAATAAATGCATTTTTTGTTGTTTATGTTTAGGTCAGGGCAATGACATTAACATGTATTTGTTCTAATGAGAGCAATAAAAAGGAAGGCAGAACAAGCTCCTGCCTGATACACTGATAATCTATGACATCTATTATTATTAACATAGCCCTAACTGTTTTACTTTGAAAATTGTGAGTGGCTCTGCTATGTACAACAATATTGGTACTAATGTAAACTTACATCTGTGAGTATAAAACCGTCATTGGATATTTGTTAAAGTGAAGGTCAGTGTTCAAATTGTGAAGATGGATAAACTTTTTTTGAATGCAATGAATTCAAATCCCTGAAGGACAGCTTGAGACCCACACTTACTAGTACTCAGACCATATTTGATATGTACTGACAAAGAATGTGTACAACTTTCTTATTTTCACATGGATAACACAGGAATAACAGAGAAATTAGGTAAACTGGAGTCAAAACTGACTTTTGGCCACTGTTACCCAGAAAGAAAAGAATATTGTGCCCTCCACCATGAAATTAATCTAAGCTAGGTACAGTGCCTTGCAAAAGTATTCGGCCCCCTTGAACCTTTCCACATTTCGCCACATTTCAGGCTTCAAACATAAAGATATAAAATTATTTTTTTTTGTCATGAATCAACAACAAGTGGGACACAATCGTGAAGTGGAACGAAATTTATTGGATAATTTAAACTTTTTTAACAAATAAAAAACTGAAAAGTGGGACGTGCAATATTATTCGGCCCCTTTACTTTCAGTGCAGCAAACTCAGTCCAGAAGTTCAGTGAGGATCTTTGAATGATCCAATGTTGTCCTAAATGACTGATGATGATAAATAGAATGCACCTGTGTGTAATCAAGTCTCCGTATAAATGCACCTGCTCTTTGATAGTCTCAGGGTTCTGTTTAAAGCGCAGAGAAAACCATGAAGACAAAGGAACACACCAGGCAGGTCCGAGATACTGTTGTGGAGAAGTTTAAAGCCGGATTTGGATACAAAAAGATTTCCCAAGCGTTAAACATCTCAAGGAGCACTGTGCAAGCAATTATATTGAAATGGAAGGAGTATCAGACATCTGCAAATCTACCAAGACCCGGCCATCCCTCAAAACTTTCATCTCAAACAAGGAGAAGATTGATCAGAGATGCAGCCAAGAGGCCCATGATCACTCTGGATGAACTGCAGATAACTACAGCTGAGGTGGGAGAGTCTGTCCATAGGACAACAATCAGTCGTGCACTGCACAAATCTGGCCTTTATGGAAGAGTGGCAAGAAGAAAGCCATTTCTCAAAGATATCCATAAAAAGTCTCGTTTAAAGTTTGCTATAAGCCACCTGGGAGACACACCAAACATGTGGAAGAAGGTGCTCTGGTCAGATGAAACCAAAATCGAACTTTTTAGCCACAATGCAAAACGATATGTTTGGCGTAAAAGCAACACAGCTCATCACCCTGAACACACCATCCCCACTGTCAAACATGGTGGTGGCAGCATCATGGTTTGGGTCTGCTTTTCTTCAGCAGGGACAGGGAAGATGGCTAAAATTGATGGGAAGATGGATGGAGCCAAATACAGGACCATTCTGGAAGAAAACCTGTTGGAGTCTGCAAAAGACCTGAGACTGGGACGGAGATTTATCTTCCAACAGGACAATGATCCAAAACATAAAGCCAAATCTACAATGGAATGGTTCACAAATAGACGTATCCAGGTGTTAGAATGGCCAAGTCAAAGTCCAGACCTGAATCCAATCGAGAATCTGTCGAAAGAGCTGAATACTGCTGTTCACAAACGCTCTCCATCCAACCTCACTGAGCTCGAGCTGTTTCGCAAGGAAGAATGGGCAAGAATTCCAGTCTCTCGATGTGCAAAACTGATAGAGACATACCCCAAGCGACTTGCAGCTGTAATTGCAGCAAAAGGTGGCGCTACAAAGTATTAGCGTAAGGGGGCCGAATAATATTGCACGCCCCACTTTTCAGTTTTTTATTTGTTAAAAAAGTTTAAATTATCCAATACATTTCGTTCCACTTCACGATTGTGTCCCACTTGTTGTTGATTCTTGACCAAAAAAAATATTTTTATATCTTTATGTTTGAAGCCTGAAATGTGGCGAAATGTTGAAAGGGTCAAGGGGGCCGAATACTTTCGCAAGGCACTGTATCTCAGACCTACGTATAGCCCCGAGTTAGCTCACCAAATGATACATGAATACATAAATATGATTCACATAACTACTATGATAAATAATGACGTTTGATAGTAACAGTATCCCAGGTAATGCTTAGGAGAGTAGCTACAGTAGCTCTTTGCATAAAAAAGATTAGTCGAACCCTGACCTAGGCTAAAGGATTATGTGATGTCACTTGAATTCTATTTCAGTTGCAGAAAAAGTGTCAATAAAAGTCTATGGGGCAGAAGGAATTTTTGAAAGACGCAGTGAAATGAAAAATGCCCCAATGTTTTTCCCAGATCAATATTTGAAAGTATTAGCTTAAAAAATCTACCATATTATTCTTTTGTCTGGAAATCTATATATTACAAACCTCACACATATGCATTTTTGAATATTGTCACTATTTCTAGACAATTTTATGAGAAAATAATGTTGTGGAATATTGTAATGTCACATAAAGGCAACAAACTGCATTCAGGCTTTAGTTGAACGTTTAGAAAAGACCACATAATATCACGCTCTATCCCTACTGCTCCCCGTTCGTCCCCAGTGCGAGAAAAAAGCCACAGAACCAAGTGTAGATCTGAGCACTAAAAATAGCTCTGTCACTGCGGCGCGTGAGACTGACACAGATTTGGACCGTGGAGCCGAGTCACTTCAAACGGCCTTCCTCTCCTCCTCTTAACCTCGTCCTCTGTGAAACTAGGACATGGCACCGCTGGACTGCCATCTCCACCACGCTGGGTCCAAGGCGTCTTAATCTGAAGCCGGGAGGAGAGGGAGGAAAGGGGGCTGAAGAGGAAAGAGGGAGTGACATGGAAAGAGGCAAATAGATCTTTTTTTGGATAAGATTCAGGCAGGAAAACAAGATATATGGCCTAGTCTACTCCATATATATATGTCAATGTCTAATTTATTTCTATAGCACATTCACAACAACAAACACTGCCTAAAGTGCTGCACAGTATAATACATAAAATACAAAAAAGGTGTGAATGGTTGGTGGTGGTCGGAGGCACATACTGGTTGCATCACCTCTGTCAGTGTGCCCCAGGACAGCTGTGGCTACAGTAGTAGTTGTGAATAAATAATGACATGTGAAGCGTCTTTGAGTGTCCAAAAAAGCGCTATATAAACCAATGTATGATTATTATTAAGGTGCTCTGGTTCCTCCATGCAAAATCATGTAAGCCATGTTTGATTTGGTCCATTTGGAGTTTTATGTTTTTTGCCTATGTACTATGAAGACAAAAAAGCAGGGAGACTAAATACAATACAATTTATTCTTGTATAGCCCTAGG